ATTGGAACTTGAAGCCAGTGTGATGACTCCAGGGTTCTTTCCCAACCACCTCACTGAGCTGCCTTTCCAAGATGTCTTCATTTACTTTATGCTGCTGCGTTTCTGGGCTGGGGGTGATTCAGGGAAGAGAACAGAAGCCAGAGAGGAGACAGGCTGGGCTGGAGCTGTCCGTGGTGCTGGCGCCTCTCCACACAGTCGCAGAGGTGGAGGGTAGGAGATGATGGGGTGAGGCCAGCAGGCAAAGTTACACAGAGACAGGGCCTGCTCAGACAGGAATGAAATAAGCAGCTAGGTGTGGCGACAGATCCTCCACTGACGAGCTCAATCAAGAGTCAGACACTTCGAGTTTGGGAGGCTTCATGTTGAACTAAAGAACCGTGCCAGTACCTAGTGAGGCAGGGATTTGTCCACACATCTTACCTGTAACTAGCATACTATAGCTATGCTGGCCACTAATATCTGGGAAGAGATACTAGTTGGTATCAATCAGTAAACATTAACTGAACTCCCCCACTGCTACTGTTGCCTTCCCAGGCCTGTCTCTGTACCCAGAATTTCTCATGACCAAGAACTACAGTGTGAAGGACTCACACAGTGCATACTCCCAAGACAGTGCTCTGGCTCTAAGGCTGGCTGGTGCCCATTTTCATAAGTCGATGCCTGTACTTTATCCACTGCTAAGTATTTTTAATCCCTTTTCGTTTCCATTTTACAGATGAGGAAACTGAGATTTGCTTGGCATACTTTTTAAAAGCTGGAACCAGGGCTTGACTGTAAATCTTCTGAGATCAAACTCCATCTCTTTTTGCCTTCACTCCCTTGCTATTGACCTGTGTGTTTTTTTACCCTGTGGTAGAGACAATGAATACAGAGCAAAAGTGGTCTAGGGAGGCTGAAGTTGCAAAAGATAAAATTCTATGCTGTTCCCAGACAAGTTGGAATCATTTTCTTTGAATCCAGGCATGGTGGCACATTCCTGTAATCCCAGCACTCGGGAGACTGAGGCAGGAGGATTGTCATGGGTTTGAGGCCAACCTGGGCTACATACTCAAGTTCAAGACCAGCCTGCACTACACAGTGAGACCTTCTATCAAAAAAAATTATTTTCTTTGAATTCTACTGCCATCGGTCTGTCTACCTTCAAGTCTCTGCCAGTTTTGTTCTCCAGCATCTCTTTCAGGCTGAAAGTGCCACTAATCTCTAGATTCTTGTACTCTAGCAGTCACAGAGGGACCTGGCCTCTAGTTCACGCTCGGGGTTCCAGGCCTCAGTTACCCCAGTGGTCCTCTAAGCTTCGGCCTTCTCTCACTCTCCATTGCAGGCTGGACTGCAAAGGCTAACCCCACCCAGTTTTCTTTTTCTTTTAACTTTATTTTAAAGAGAATAAAACCAAACAAAATGAAACAGGATAAAGTCAATCAAAACAAAACAATGAGAGCGATAAAGGACTTCAAAACAAGATAATAGAAAACCAACAATGGCTACCATAATGCCTCATGTTATCTTCCTTTTTTTTTTTTTTTATCCATACCAGGGATCGAACTCACGACTGCCTGCTTGCAAGGCAGGTGCTTATGCCGCTGAGCTAAATCTCCAGCCCCTCCTCATGTTATCTTCAAAATAGTTGCCCGTACATCAGACGTATAGAATCTAACAAAATGAAACAGAATAAGGCCAAACCAAACAAAGCAATGAAAATAAAACAGGACTTCAAAACAAGGTAATTGGGAATTAACAGTGGCTACCACTTCCTTTTTTAGACATTTCCTCCCCTTTCACCTTCACAATACCTATTGTACATTTTGGATCCCACTAGCTTCTTTACTTTTTTCTCTGTAATTTTAAAGGGAATAAAACAGAGCAATAAAATGAATCAAAACAGTGATAATACAGCAGGAAATCAATAATGATGACTGTATTGCATATTGTTCTCTAAATAGTTGCTGGGTTTTAGCCTTGCAAAATCCAACAATATAGTTCCTCAGAAGCCGCTAGTTGCTCACCTGGGGTGCGAGGTGGCTGTTCACCCCTCCCCAGCTGGAGCTCTAGTGGGGGCTTAGCTTTCTTCCTTGTTCTCCCAGTCTGCACTCCGAAGGGCTCCCCGCCCCATTTCTGGGGCCAGGAGCCTCTGTGTCAGGGCTCTCACCTCCTCACTTCCTTCCCCCAGTACATCCTGGATGCAGACCTGGTTCCACAGTCAATAATCAAAATGCAGCCAGAATCTCAAGGTGAAAGGAAGAGAGAGAAAATGCTATAAATGCTGGAGCCAGGGGAACCTGACCACTGGAGAGCAGACCACCACTGCAGCACCAACTTTCTCCACCTCAGAGCAGCAAGTAGGCTCCTTCTCAAGGAAACAAAGGAGGGTGTGGAGAGGAGGAAAACCTCTGCTTTCTCCGTCAGTAAAAAAAAGAGGTGCTCAGAGACCTGAGTGGCTCATTGATGACAATCTCACACTTGAAGATTTAAAGAGTGACTTTCTTTCAAGTGTGTGTGTGTGTGTGTACTCACTGGCACAGTTTTAATTAATCTTCATATTGATTTTTTAAAATTACCCCCCAAAACATATGAGAAAAGCGAGGGTCAGAAAGATTATGTGATTTTTCCAGGCCACACAGCCAGCAATCGTCAGGATTAGTCCCAAGTCCCCATGATTTCTCTGGCCAGGGTCTTCTCTACTACACAGAGGCCATGGGGCAGGAGAAGTACTTGAGAACAAAGCTCACAAAGATGTTTTTGCATGTGTTGAGGTCCACATCACTGCCTGTGCTTTGTCTTTCTTCTCCCCCACCCCAGCTTCTAGGCCAGAAGGGTCTGAGGCTGTCTCCCACCATCCCTCTGCCTTTCTCCCATATCTTGCTCCTCATCAACTTCATGAATCAGCATTCATCCTTGTTCAAGCCTTAAACCACGCAGTGTCTTCTGCTGGGGTGTTTTTTGAGTCCAAGGAAGACACAATTCTGAGGAGCCAGGACCTGTTATCTCTCTCAGGTATTAGGTACCTAAAAAAGGGGCTCCCAGTGCAAGTTCAACTTCTGATTCCTCTTTCTCAGATTCAGACCCTTGCTACACCTAACCCTGACCCTGACCCTAACTTTGACCCTAACCCGTGTGTTTGCCTTCCTGGCCAAAGTCTAAGACTTCCCTGGGAGTCCCCACATCAGTTGGGGTCATTACCTGCAAAGCTATCAGGAGGCAGTTAGAATCATATAGAAGCAGAGACCACAAGGGAAACAGGAGCCATCTCCTTTCATCACCCAAAATCCAGTATCCATCAAGGTGAGACAGGGGAAGAGGCTCCCCCACCGTGAGTGTAAGGGTGCAGTGCTCCTAGGATGAACACCCCCATCCCTGTCAGGGTTTTCTTACTGGGATTCCTGAGGTCCTCACTCAAAACTCCCTATTTCTACTAAAAAATGCAAATGTTCCTTTCTGCCCCTAACAGCCATCTGAGTCAGGCTGCCTACTTCACAAAGAACTTGAGGGAAATATGAAGAGGAAATCATTATAAAAACCGTCAACAACATAAAAGCCAACATGTCCAAAGTACAAGTTTCAGATTCTGAGAATCCCATCAAAAGCAGTGAAACACTCACCAAATTCCACATTCCTTAATCTCAGGAAAATTCCAGGCCTGGTCATGCGAATATAAACTCAACAAGGATCCTGGCCTGCCCCACTCCCTCCAGGCTTGTCTGCCTCCATCCATGTGTTTCCCAGGACCAGCTCAGGTCACTTGGTCATCTCAGTTTATCTTCAAACAAATCAATCTCCAAACTTTCAATATGAGAATTTATTTTCTGGGGTTACCTCGACTCATTAAGACGTATTCTCAGAACCACACATTCCCTGTTCACTGTGAGAGGAAACTGGGTCACTGTTGGAAGCAGTGAAACATTTTTAATGAACTTTGAGATTTTCAGTTTCATCTATTATCATGGCTGTGTCCAGATGTCTCCCCAAAGCAGTCATAGGTGGAACTTTGTCAGAGGTGGTTGGATCTAGAGTGCATGATGCTGGCATTAAGGGTTGGATGGTTACTAAATCAGTCCATTGATTGGTTGGGTACCATCCTATGCCCAGTAAACCTAGATAGAAAATAAAAAGGGCCAAAGAAGATGCTAAGGTCCCTTGTAGCTTTGCTACTTTCTGCCCAACACAAACTGTTTCTTCTCTGTAGTGCCTGTCTCCTGTGCCACCCTGCTTTGGAGCCAGCAGATTATGGACCTCTACACACTATGAGCTAAATAAACTTTTCCTCTTTGAGTGTTGAGTATTTTGTCTCAGCAATGAGAAAAGTGATTAAGACACCTACCTGAGACCCTTCTCCCAAAGCACACATGGACAAATGAACAAATGGGCTTTTAAAAATCCTCTTTATGTGTAAGAATTTCTTTCCACACTGACTTTAGGATCCTTTCAAAACAGTTCATTTGTCTTGTTGCTGGGCCAGAAAAGTGCTGGGAGATGATACCAAGGGACACCAGCAAGGAATTCATCTGCAAATCAATGTGCAAGTAAGAAATAACGAAGGGCTGCTTTCAGGTTAACAATTGTAATCACAGGAATGTCACAGGTTCTGATCCTGTGACAACACAGTGTGTGGGAAAGGACAGGAATGACTCCCACTTTGGTGTCAAATTCAACAAAATGCCTCCTACGAATTTGGTCACCTGTTAAATTCATGATTGCTGGGACGTTCTAGCAATTAAGGGAGCACATGCAAATAATTCCACGTCAAGACTAGTACAAAGCTCGCAGACCAGCATAGCAGGGAAGGTCCAAGAAGCAAAACTGAACACTATGGGGATTAAACTTGAAAGGCAGAGCCGGGAGTGTAGCTAGTGGTAGGTGGCTGGCCTAAAATGAACGAGGCCATGGGTTCAATCTCCAGCACAGCAAATAGAATGAGCAAGAGAAAAGCCTTAGGGCTGTGCGTTCCCGCCTCTGGGCTTGACTCACTGGAGTTGCCGTCGTTGCCGTGGGAAACCAGAGGACGCCACATCCTGCGCGTCTTGTATCTATGGAGACCGCAACATGGCGGCGCCTTGAGTTCTGAGCGTTGGTCAGAACCGCGGCAAGAGGCCAAGGAAGGTTTTTGTCCTGGAAGATCGCCTTCTCTGGGAAGTCGTGGCAGGGGTGTCCTCCATCTTCTCACGGAGCCCTGTGGGACTGCGACTTGGATGTGGTCGATCAGACCGGAGACCCTGAAAACAAGGAAGGAACAGCTCTAAGTATATTTTATTTCCTTCACTTTACCTATTTCTTTCTCAACAATACACGACGACCCGCCACTTTTTCAGTAATTATCTTGGGAAGTTTTAAGGTCGGGAATTATGCAAATAAAGGAATTTAATGATATATTTTTCTAAATCTTTGAGATTAGAAAATTGGATTAACCCTCTTCCCCCCCCCCCCCCCACCGTAATTGCGGAAATGGATGGCTTTTGGAAGTGTGAAAGTTATGATTTGTAAATATAGTGACATAGGTTTGTTTAATGCTTCTTCGAATCCCCTATTTCGTTCAAACTCCAAGTACCAGAAGTAATAGGACAACCCTCATTTGATAGGCAAAGAGGCAAAAAGTTTGCCTATCCCAGGAGAGTTAGGGAAGAAACTCAAACTCTCCTTCCTTTGCCATAAGGCTAAGATTGTCCTTCCCTAAACCTGGGCGGGACTACCACAGCAGGGAAAGTCAGAGAAGGAGCAGTCTAGGATTAAACGTTCAGCCTGCTATTCCGTCATCTCACCTCTCTGCTCTCTCTGGGATAATTTCATGTGTTGACTAGAGACTTTTTTCAAAACTCTAAGGTAGGGGCTTCCTGTAGAATCTCCTGAAGTCAAAGACAGTGAGTAGGGACAAGACTGCAAAGCCATCCTCAGGAGAAAACTGCTAGGACTCTCCTCCCTGCCTACCCAGCTTGTGTTTCTTGGATTCCATCTAAGCATCCACTGTATAGCTGAAGGTAAGAATCTTGCCTCTCTGGCCCTGTGTGTGACACAGTGCCCTTACACGGTAGGCACTCAGTAAATGCCTTGTGAATGAATGGATGAGGGAATCTGAAATAATCTCCTCCACAGAGCTTAGAGGACCCTAGAGAAACAACTGAGTCATCAGAATCTTTTGTTCTGGATGGGGAGGGAGGAAATGGGAGTGTTTGAAGGAAGTGTATAAATTCCTAAAGGTGATCATAAAATTGTTTACTAAATCTGAGTACATTTATAATAAGAAGTGGAGTCACAAATTTGAAAAGGGAGAGTTTTAAAATTAAAAAAGGCAAGTCACATATAATCGCAAACTGTTGTAGGGATAAAGACGCCTGTGCAGACCTTACAACTCCGGAAGCTGTCTGCAGATGTCTGTAGAATTTTTGATAGATACTATTTTTGAGATTTTTATTTGAAAAGGAGAGAAAGAATACTGAATATTCTTAGTACTGACTAGTCTGAGAAATGCATAAATTCAAAAAGATTGTCCAAAGTGGCAGCCCCTGGCCAAATTTAGCTACGGAGCATTTGAAATGCGGATGGTTTCAAGTGAGATGTGTTACACATCTGTATAAATATATATATAAAATGCACTCTAGATTTCAAAGATTTAGTACAAGAGAAAATGTAATATATCCCAATAATCTTATGCATTGCATATTACAGGATAATATTTTATAGTGAGTTAAGTCAAATATACATTTATTTTCACATTTCTTTTTACCTTTTAAATGGGCATAGTAAAAAATATTAGATTCCATATGTGATTTGCATTAAACTTGTGGGCTCAAAATCATGTTTGGTGATTTCATGGGTAATGGGTCCATATCGAGTTTTGAGTGTAAAAGGAAATTAGAGGTCGTCATCCTAGAGGTCTACAAATCATGTCCATGTGTACTGGAGCAGAGGTGACGATAGATTGTCTGAGTATGAAAACTGCTATCCTCTCATATAAACTATAAATTCACACTTGGGTCTATGTGCTAAAGGAATAGAGGCTATCGTGCTTTTGAGGGAACCACAGTTAGTCATAAATACTTTGTGTCTCTTATGTATAAGTATTTTTAGACAGGGTCTTGCTGTACTGTACTTGAGGCTGGCCTCAAACTTGTAGTGATCCTCCTGCCTCAGCCTTCCTAGTGCTGGGATGACAGGTGTGGGCCACCGTGTCTAGAATTTTTGTTCCTTATAACAAAGTCAAGCACCTTTCTGAACATTTGGTGAAAGCTGTAGATGTTGTTTCTGGAAAACACCACCTGGATATATACATAGTATCTTGCATATAGTACACACATATGTCTGGGTATAATTTTCCACAGCAGTCCATCCAGGGACCACTCTGCTCAAGATTTGTTTGTTTGTTTATTTATTTATTTATTTTTGCAGTACTGGGGATCGAAACTAGAACCATCACACTAAGCTACATCTCCCACCCTTTTATGTATTTTTTATTTTGAGATATTTTTTATTTTTATTTTGCTAAGTCATCCAGTTGTCCAAGTGAGTTCGAACTGGAGATCCTTCTGCCTCAGCCACCCAGAGTACTGGGATTGTAGGCATGTGCCACCACACCCGGCTTCATTTATTTTTTAATTGGTCCATTTTTCAGTGAATATTTACTTTAAACCTGGAGGACAGGGTATACTTCTGGAAGAGGAAACCCAGAAAACCTAGAAAGTACCAGCTTCATTTGTCCTTTATTCCTCTTCTTATAGCAGGCAAGACATACTCAGAGGAAGCTAGAGAGTCAAAGTCATCGAAAGGTAATGGGTGTATTTCTGTGACCCCCACCGGGAGCTTGGTGAGTAATGTTGGTGTGGTCCAGTAGGGAAATGGAAGCTGGGCCTTCTCCCAAATGCTTGTTCTGAGTGCTTTCCCTGGGTGTCCCGTGACTCACCACGTAGGAAAACCCTAGATCTTGTGTCCAGTCTCATTTTTCAGGTGCCACCTGTACTTCCTGCCAGGCCCAAGAAGCAGGCCCTCTGCCCCACCTCGGGGAAGGTCATGGTTCCTGACCTGTGTGCGCACCCAGCTTGACTCCCAGCTGGAACTGGCGGGAGCTCCTGGCTTAGCTAGGGTGCTGCTCTGGACTCACGTTTCAGGTACCCACACCCACCTGGGCAACGCCACGCTGCATCATGAGGCCCGAGGACAGCAGAGACTGCACTGTGATCTCCAGCGGATCATACCAGAGTAGCAGCACGGTGGCTGTTCCCACCATCAGCGGCAGCAGCAAGGGTACAAGTGCTCGCAGCAGCAATGTCAGTGCCCAGGTGAGGACCTGGTCAGGGCAGGGGAGCAGGGTGTGGCAGGGCCAGGCACGGCTTGGGTGTCAGGGCCGTGGGTTGGGACTCTGAGGGAGCTGCCTGTCGCATCCATATCCAGTGCGAGATCCTGCACAGACAGCCTCAGGTAGACTGGGCGCCCGCAGCAGTGCGTGTGCCCCAGGGTTCTGGGTGATCCAAGCTGGTGACTGGACTGACAGCCAGGTTTCCTCCTTCAGAAAGCTCTTTTGGCCTTGACCTCTCTGGCTTTGTGTCTGACCAGAGTGTAGATACTATTTACTTTTTCGGACTGTGCGATTTTGTGCGACAGTGCAGCTGCCTGAGTCTGACATCAGAGGATGACTTGTATTGGGAGCAGCAGGTGTCTGTGTTGGGGGTGGCACGCACCTCCTTAGAGCTGGTGGTCTTTGCATTGACTTCCCTGTGGTCCGGGGGGCACCGGAAGGCATCTCATTCTCCACCGGTGCCTGTCCAGCCAGTTCACCTTTGGATTCGCTCTGCCTCTTCTGCTCTGCTCTGAGCTGGCAGGTGATTGGAAGGTGAATAGAAGACAGAAGCCAGGTGTTTCTCTCTCTGTCTCTGCTTTTGATGGTGTCTGCATTAGCAGCTCTTCTAACACAGTGGCCTCGCCTCTCCTGGGTGTGTTGCTTGATTCCTGATGGTGTTAACCCCGAGGTTACTTTGCTACTCCTGGCCACGCCTTAAATCCCTGTTTTAAACACCAGGGTGGTCTCTGCTCCACTGATCAGGTAACTGACATTTATAGTAAATTACCCACCGTCATCCATGTCACCTTTGCTGCATGGACAAGGGAGAAAGAATATATCATATTGGCCACCCAACCCAATGCTGTCTGTAAATATTGAAACCGAGGCTGTAGTGTCCAAGAGAGAAGGGATTTGTCCATCTTGTTTGTTGTCATCCTAGCACCTAACACAGTGTCTGGCACAAATAGTCGACAAATATTTGCTGAATGGATGACTGCATCCTTGTGTTCTGTAACAACAGACAAACAATACTTGGTCAGAGTGTTGGCAGCAGCGGCCAGAATGGGGGGAAGTCGCTGCTTCATCCCTCCTCACCTGCTACCCAGGAGGTCCCCTCCCCTCCCTCCTTAGATACACAACAGGATAAAAAAAAAAAAACATGGTGACAGTTTAAATCGTAAGAAGTTTATTACAGTGAAAGATGCATTGCTGTTAACCACTCCCCAAAATATCAAACACTTCAAACACTTTGTGAAGGGCTCAAGATATAACTCAGCAGCACGGTGCCAGCCTGCCAGGTGCAATGCCCTGAGTTGGATTCTCAGTACCAAAACAAACAGACAAACAAACAAACAAAACCACTTACTGAAGCAGTTCTGGATGTCCTGTTTCATGAGCGTCTTTAGTTACATGATCATGATTGCCCTGAGGTCCATGGTTACCTGGAATCAGTTTAAAACATTTTACCCTTCAGGGTCACTTTGACTTTGGGGAAGAACCAGAAGTCACATGGTGCCGGGTCATGTGGAAAAGGTGGATGAGGATCCATAGTAAAGGTTTTATGAATCTACCTTTCCTTTGGATGCCACTTGGCACCAGCAGTTGCCATATTTTTGATCACAGCTGGTAAAGGTATTTGTGGAGGAGGACTTTCAGAATTGCGTCAGAAAGTTAGACCAGGTGTGGTGCACACCTTTAATCCCAGTTCTCAGGAGGCTGAGACAGGAAGATTGCTTGGAGTTTGAGGCCAACCTGGGCTACAAGTGAGTTCAAGGCCAGCCTGAACTGCATAGTGAAACTCTGTGTTGAAAAGACAATAAAAAGGAAAAAAAAAAAAAAAAAAAAAAAGCCAGGCATGGTGGTGCACACCTATAATCCCAGCACTCTGGAGGTGAAGCAGGAGGATCATTTCGAGTTTGAGACCAGCCTGGGCTACAAAGTGAGCTCAAGGCCAGCCTGAACTGCATAGCAAGACCTTGTCTCAATAATACATACACACACACACACACACACACACACACACACACACAAGGAAAGTTACAAGATATTTTCTTTTAAAGCATTATTTCAAAAAAAGAAAAGAAAAAGTGACAAGAACATGCAGGAAGTGTGTTAGAAGCAAGAGAGGTATTTTGAGAGAGATTTACAGCAATGTGCATTTTTGTATTGCAATACATTTTTTAAAACTTTAAACATCCACTGTACATTTTTATCACACCATGTAGATAGGCATCATGGAACAGCCTATGAAGACCTGGTCAGTTAAGAGTGGGGAAACACTGGCACAGTGCATGTCCAGCATTGCCAGGATCAGCACCAGGGCATGGGTGGGGCTTGGTCATGAGCCAATCCGATCCTTAGTGAAGGATGGGAGGGTAACTGGGGTGCATCCTACAGTCTGAAAGAGTCCTGGGATAGACCATTGCAGCGGGGAGAAGTTTCCACAGTGAGGAGCAGGATAAGGAGGAGCAGGAAGGGTGGGGAGGAGGAAGAGGAGGAGGAGGTGGCCAGAGGGAAACATACCTTAGGGTACACAAGGAACAGAATCAAACAGCGAAGGCCACGTTTGTATGCTGGCTGCAGTGGCTGGATGGGTGGCCCTTCAGTGGCCAGGGCATTGCTGGCAGACATTCCAGTGACCTTGGAAGGGGTGATGTCTGACTTCAGGGTGCACCTGCCCCTGTCTTCAGGAGAAATCCCAAGTGCCAGTGGGGTCCTCATTTACTACTTGCTGGCAACAGGGAGAGCATGATCATTCCCTGGGTCTCTGTGTCCTGCCCTGCTCATGAAACCTTCCTCTTCCTCTTTCCCTGCTACCCTGACAGACCCTCAGCCCCACAGACACTCAAGTGTGCTCCCCTAAGAAGCAGGAGAGAGTGAAGAAGAGGGTGGTCTGGGGCATTGAGGTGGCCGAGGAACTGCAGTGGAAAGGCTGGGAGCTGGGGAAGGAGACCTCGAGGAGCCTGGTCCTGAGAAACCTCACCTTGAAAATTCAGAGGATGAAGTACAGGTAACGGAACGAGGGGCCACAGCACCCCGCCACTGAGCTCTGAAGCCCCAAACCAGACTCCCTCGAAAAACAACTTTTAAAATGTCACGTAAAATCAGTAGAGTGTTCCAAACATTCCAGTTAGGAGAATTCTGTCAGGTGGGATTTGGGGGACCACGTTAAGTCCTAGAATAGTGACAGTGTCTTCCCCCCATCAGTTACGTCCATGATTTACCCAGGAGCAGCTGCGGTTCACTCCGTGTCCCTGTGGTCAGTAGCCCTGCGCCTGTACCCGCACACACTCATCTGGTCCTGTCCAGGTATCTGAGTTGTTTCCAGCTTGAGGCTGTTACCAGCCAGTTTGGACCTGGTTCCAGGTGCACAAGTCCAAAAGCTTTTCTAGGGTATCGACATAGGAGTCAGACATACACATGTCCACTTTGTGTAGGTAAAGGTCAACTATTCCTGAAGGTCAAGGCTTTCCTGTTCCCACCACGGGAGTTTCCATGCTTTTGTGGCCTAACCAATAAGTGCCGTGGTTGACGTTTTACATTTATGCCCATAATGGTAACTTGTAGTTTTAACCTGCGTTCCCCTAATTATTGACTAATGAGGCTGGGTACCTCTTCAGAGGTTATTGACCATTTGCATTTCTTCATTTGTGAAATTTGTGTTGAAGTCTGTGCTCGGTTTTCATTAGATTGTTCCTCTTCCTTCTCCTTTTCCTGGTCCTCCGAGTCCTTCACTTTTTTGACATAATTTCCTATGCTGGATACTAATCCTTTGTTGGTTGCGTGTTGTGAATATCTTCTCACCTTGTGATTTGTCTTTTTTTCTGTTGTCTGTTTTGCAGAATAGATGTTCTTAATTTTGAAGGAATAAGAGTTTTCAATTTTTTTCTTTCATGGTTGTTGCTCTTTTTTTTTTTTTTTTTTTTTTTTTTTTTTGTCTTTTTCATTTTTATCAGTACCGGGGATCGAACTCACGACCGCCTGCTTGCAAGGCAGGTGCTTATGCCGCTGAGCTAAATCCCAAGCCCTGCTCTTTTTTTTGAGACAGGGTCTCACTGTGTAGCCCAGGCTGGCCTCAGTCCTCCTGCATCAGCCTCCTGAGTGCTGGGATTACAGACATGTGCCACCATGCCTGGCTGGTTGTTGCTTTTTAAAGAGTTTCTTCTTTAACTGTAGGCCATGAAACTATTTTCCTATTACTGTGTTTTCTAAAAATTTTATAGTTTTTCCTTTCATGTTTGTCTTTATGGAACTGATTTTTGTGAATGGAAGTTGGGTCCCAGTGACATATTTTGCCTGAGTTGATTGTCCAGTTATCTAAACACCGTTTACTGAGGGGTTTGTACTTTCTAGGTGGTCACCCCTACCACTGGCATGTATCAAATGTCCATTTATGTCCAGGTCTGTATCTGGGCTCTTTTTTTTTTTTTGTTCCCTTTATCTACTACTTGTTTATACCTTGGCCAGTTTTGAATTATTAATTAATTCTGAGAATTTATCGTAAATAAGAATTAATTATTAATTCTTAGAACTTATAGTAAACAGTGATATCTGGTTGTATAAATCCTTCATCTTCCTTCAAGATTACCTTGGCTTTCCTTGACCCTTTGAACTTTCATGTCATCTTCAAGTTGGTTCATCATCTATACACATAAAAACTTTTTGTGACTTTTGATCAGGATTCATTTGAACCTCTGAGATAAGTTTGAAGAGAACATTCATTAAAATACTGACTCTAAATCCACAAATACAGTGGCTCCTTAGATTTCTGTTATGTCTGTTGATAAAGTTTAAAGTTTCTCCATAAACACCAGGCACATTTTTAGTTAGCTTTAATCCCAAGTACTTAGTATTTCTGATGATAGTAGATATCTTAAAGTTGCTTTAATTTTCTGTATGTTGCTAGTTTTAAAAAAAATACTATTAGCTTTGTGTATGGGTATTGTGTCCAGCAGTCTTGGTAAAGCCTTTTATTAAATCTGTCAGTTTATTTGTTGTCTTTTTTCTTACCTGCATATTTGTATTTTATATGAGAAATGGCATTTTTCTTTACTCCGTTCCAATTTTATGTTTTTTTCTTTCTGTCTTTCTTTACACTGCTGTTAAACAGCAAAGTACTGAGCAGAAATGGTATGAAAAGATGCTCTTACTGGGTTCAGGATCTCAAAGTGAAAGACTGCACTGTGTCACCATTAAGCTGGGGGTTTCCTGCGAGTTTTTTTTTCTTCTTCTCTTTCTTTTGGTAGGAAGGATAAGCACGCTCCCTTTTATCCATGTTTTGTTGTGAAGGTTTTTCTCATATGCATGTTGAAGTTTATCTAACTTTTAAATTGAGGTGATCACTTGATCCTCATTATTAATATGCTAGATTATAGAAACTGATTTTCTGTGTTAAACCAACCATGTATTTTTTCTAATAATACCAGTGGGTGTGACTGAATGTGTGTTCTATACTTTGCTAAATTCTTCTTGGTAATATTTGGTTTCTAAGATTGGTCTGTAATTTTTCTTTCTTTTCTTGACTCTGCCAGGTTTTTGTAGCAACATTGTGATGATTTCAAAGGCTATCCTGAAGCAAATTTCTTTATTTTATATTATCAGGAAGAGTTTAAGACTGAAATTTTTCTTCTTTTTTTTCCTTTTGCAATATTGGGGACTGAACCCAGGGCCTTTGCACTTACATTTCTGGCCCTTTTAAGATTGTTTTTATGTTGAGACAGATGTCTCTAAGTTGCTGAGTTGCTTAGGTTAGCCTTGAATTTGTGATCCTCCTGCCTCAACTTCCCAGAGTACTGGGATTTCAGATGAGTACTCATGCTTGGCTTGGAATTGTTTTTCCTTAAATGCTTTATAAGACTTTATATGAAACCATCTGGCCTCTTATTTTCATTGTGGGAAGATTTTTGACCACCTATTCCATTTTTTTTTATGATTTTAGGGTGGCCATAAGGTTTATTCTATAATTCTTGAGTCAGTTTGTTGAGTTAGGTTTTCCTGGGAATGTGTTTATTTCACCTAAATTTACACACTGGTTTGTACAAAGTTGCTGACAATCTTGTCTGCTTATTAATATTTGAAGAATCTGCAGCATCTGTAGTGTTGACTTGCTCTGGGGCTTCCTATCCCTGGTATCTCCCTGGTTTCCCAGTCCACTGCTCAGGGATGGCCTATGCCCACCTCTGTCCTCACAGGCCACCCAGTGTCCCTATCAGAGGCACAAATACTGCCTTTCCATTCTGAGTGATGGTCCATGAAAGCGGAAGGAGGTAGGAGGCGGCTGCTCTGGTGATCCGCCTTGCACATCCCTATCAGTACCCGTGGCCTTTTTCTCCATGGCCCTGAGGACTCCAGGCCCCTGGCTCTGGGGTCTTCTCCAGTCTTCCTGTCTCCTCTCTTTGTTTAGTGTTCAGAGCTGAAGCACTCATGCCCTGGCTCCTTCCCGCAGGCCTCCCAAGACCAAGTTCTTCTTCACGGTCATCCCTCAGCCCATCTTCCTGAGCCCCGGCATAGCCTTCACTCTCCCCATTGTCTTCCGGCCTCTGGAGGAGGTGAGTGGGGGGTGGGAGGAAAGGCTGCTGAGACCTCAGCAGGAAGCAGGACCAGGCAGCCGGAGCTTCCCCTGAACCCCCCCCACGCACACATCCTGCCGCCCCGGCCGGATCCCAGGCTCCGGAAGTCCTGCGAAGGCTCCAGGCCTGCTCTCCTGAGATGGAAGGGTGCATGCCCCAGGTACCAGGGCTAAATTCTATAGTGCTGTGTTGCCATTAAAAGTCCTAAGTTCCCCATAAATCTCAAAATTCTTTGCAAAAAATGCTATGTCAAGACAGGATGGAGTGAGTCTCGTTGTAGTGCCCAGTCTGGCCTCAAACCCCTGAATTCAATCTCTTCCTCCCTCAGCCTCCCAAGCAACTGGGTTTACACAGGTGTATGCCACCACAGCCAGCTCCTCCAAATTCTTCTTCACCGAGGAGGCCCTGATCTCCGAGACTAACTCACTGCAGGAGTGCAGGATGTGATGGTGGCCCTTGTCATGGTGCTGAGGGCCGGTGGGACACCACCTGGGTGCCACTGACCCCTGGCTGCCTCTCCCTCTTCTTCTGCCACACAGAAAGAATACACGGACCAGCTGTGGTTTGAGAAAGAAGAGGGGGTGTTCAGTGTGGATCTGAGGGCTACCCTCCCCTGCCACAAGCTAGTCTGCCCACCACGCCTGATGCTGCCCATGTGTGCCGTTGGGGACACAGTCGAGGCTGGGTTCTGCCTAAACAATGTGGGGTGAGGGGGAGCTGAAGCCCAGCGGTGGAGGAAGGTGCTCTGGGGAGAGGGCTCTTCTGCAGGGAGGAAGTGGCGGTGGCTGTCCAGAGCCTCTCTGCCTGAGCCATCCCTGCCACCCCCAGGGACCTGCCCACCTTCTTCGCCTGGGAGTTCGCCAGCCCGTTCCAGATACTCCCCGCCACGGGGCTGCTGGAACCAGGCCTGGCCTGTAGGGTCAAAGTGACCTTTCAGCCCCACATAGCTGTCATCCACGAAGTCCAAGCCACGTGCTGGTACGGGGAGGGCAGCAGGCAGAAGAGCAGCATTCAACTGCACGCTGTAGGTGAGGCCAGCACCCAGCTGCCCCAAAGCCCAGGCGCCATCTCTCCCCACCTCCTGAGGCCTATGTGTGTTCCCTCGGGCCCTCTTGTGGCCCTCAGGGCCTTCCTCCAGCCTGTCACTCTCACCTCAGCACCCGGTCTTGCTTTTTTTATTTTATTTTTTGCCTACCATCATGTCTCAGACTAGTTTTGCCCCAGGACACGTCCCTTCTAGGGGCTGCCCCGCTGGGGCCACAGAGGCCCAAGTGGATTCCCTCCAGGACTCCCCCATCTCTGCCTCAGCTAAGTGCGCCCAGCTGCTGGTGAGCATAAGGCACAAGCAAGCAGGGGACCAGGACACGGAGAGCTCTCAGAAGCTGCTGCACTTCGGCTCCGTCGCTGTGGGCTGCAGCGCCGAGAGGCAGATCAAGCTGTGTAACCCCTCTGCGGTATGCTCGGCCCTCGGGCTGGCTGCCCTTCAGATCCATCCCCTCTACAGAGTGCCCCCTTCTCTCCACATCTCTGACCCAAAGCCTGGCATAACCCTGGTGTGCTCACACGCACACTCATCAACAGCCTGCGTTTCTTTCTCCTCCTAGCTGGGGCTGGGCTCAGGTATTCTCTGCTCCCCCACCAGAGGACCCCTAAACAACCCCAGAGTGTCCCAACCCCATGACCATGGCTATGCCCCAGGGTGTCTTTTGAAAAACGAACAAGGGCTTCCCCCTGGGCGACCCAAGGCAGACATGTGGTCTGGCCCTTTCTTCCACCTGGCGGAGGCGGTTTCACCCCACACTCACTCTGGCCAGTGGGCGCAGGCTGATGCCAGTGCCTCACCCCTCAGTGGGTTCACGCATAGACTGTCTGACCCAGTGACCTTGCCCTTTGCTCCCAATCTGTACTACAGGTGAATGCCCCTTTCAAGATTGAAATGGCCACAGACATGCTGGTCAAAGACCAGGCCTTCTCATGCTCCATGGCCCAAGGCATCATCCCCCCAGGACAGAAGAAATATGTGTCAGTGTTCTTTCATCCCAAGACCTTGGACAACAGAGCTGTGGACTACTTTTCCATCATACCTTCGGGTGGTGCCTCCCAGACCCTGCTCCAAGCTGTCGGTTTCAGTACAGGTACGGGCAGCCTGAGGGCACCGTGCTTCTGGGGACGGGAGCAGCCTGTGCTGGATTCCGAAGAGCTCTATGCCTGCCCCTAAGAGGCCTTCCTCCTGGCCCCTCAGCCTAGCTAGGTGTCTGGTGCCCCCTGGTGGCCCAGTGTGGAAGCATTTTGGACGCCTGGTGATACTGTCTTGCCGGTCACCCCTAGAAACTGCGGAGCTCCACTTGTGCTACAGGGGCCTTGGGCCTCTCCAGCCTGGCTATCTGTCTCCAGGCACCCTCCAGGCAGTGGTCCTCTCAACAGAGGGACCCTTTCCGAAACACTTAGGTGGCAGGACACACTCACAGGGACCTGTCTCTTATGCCCAGGTCCTGCTGTGTCCCTGCAGCACTACTGCGTCAACTTTAGCTGGGTCAACCTCGGGGAGCGCTCAGAGCAGACCCTGTGGATTGAGAACCAGGCGGACTGCACGGCCCACTTCCAGTTTGCCATTGACTGCAAGGAGAGCGTCTTCAGCATCAGGCCCCACTTTGGGAGTCTGGTAGGCAAGGACCGCATGACCCTGCGCTGCACCTTCCAGCCCACTCACCCCATCATCTGCTTTCGGCGGGTGGCCTGTCTCGTCCACCACCAGGTGAGTGGTAGGGAGCAGCCGGAGCTGAGGGGAGCTACGTGTCGATGAAAACAGGGCGGGCACTCCTCTATGTTCTGGAACTTACGCTGCTGCCTGCCTGGGTCATTTCCTTCTTGAAGGCCCCTGTGTGGGCCTTTGGAAGCAGAGCATGGCCAGGGGCACAAGGAGTCACTCTCAGCCAGAAGGGTGTGGCAAGTGTGCCCTGACTGCTGCCAAGCCAGAGGCTTCGCTGCTGCTGATGCTAATGGGCTGGGGAGACAGAGGTGTGGACATCATCCCATAAAATGTGCAGGACAGGGAGCTTTGGCGTTAGCGCCTGGACCCAGGGCCCAGGGCAAGATCATGCACACAGTGTACCAACCTCTGGGTGCCTAGCTAAGATAGCAAGGAGGAGCTGAAATCTGGCACTTGCACAACTGGTGCCTGGGCTGTGTGCTGTGTTGCTCTGCCCAGAGAACGGTACCCTTTTGCATTTCTCATATGGGTACAGTATGGTTTCCGGGAAGCCTTATAGCAGGACAGAGCTGACTCAGTTTCGGCTCACTGAGAGGGGGCCTCAATGCTGGATCTGTGGGCTCCCGGCTGCCTGTACCGTAAATGGGCAGTGGACTGCCCAGGAACCATGCACAGAGGGGAAATGGGTGGGCAATGGCCGAGCATCCCATCCTACGGCTGCCTGTTCTCTGGACTGGCACTGAACTCCCTTAGCTGGCCAGGCAGTGTGGAGAGACTCCCTGTAGCTTCTGTCCTGCTGTCTGGGTCATCTTGTCTGCCAAGTATCCATCCTCAGTTCAACCCCTGGCACCTGCTAGCTCTGTTCCTCCTCCTGTGGCCCACCACACATCAATGAATGTTGCAGGACCCACTGTTCCTGGACCTGATCGGGACCTGCCATTCGGACAGCACCAAGCCGGTCATCCTGACCCCTCAGCACCTCACCTTCTATCGCACACACCTGGCCCGGGGCCTGACGCTCTATCCTCCTGACATCCTGACTGCCATGTTGAAGGAGAGGACACTGCAGCGGGACAGCAACGGGACCCTCATGCTACCCCCTGAGGTATCCGGATCCCTCTGGGCCTCAGTTGTTCTAGCCCCTGGGGTGAAGGCCTTCCCCAGCTTCCTGGGATTCTTGGGCAACCCTGAGTCCTCAAAGCTCTGTGGACACTCCTGTTCTGGGGTGAGCTGTGTGCAGCTCCTGCAGCTTTGTCCAAGAGGAGGGGCAGAGGAAGGCAGTGGTGAGAAGAACTGCACGTGAGCTCCCTGTTTCTCCCTGTGTAGGACCTGCAGGGACCAAAAGCCCCGCAGCACCCCAATATCCCCCCCATGATGGAGTACTTCTTCGATGGCACCAGGGACACAGCCATCTTCCCCCCGCCTGTCAGTGTAGAGCCAGCCGAGGTGGACTTTGGTGGCTGCCCTGGGCCTGAGGCCCCTGCCCCTGTCCCGCTGTGCCTGAGGAACCATACCAAGGGCAAAATCACAGTGGCCTGGACGCGACGGTCTGGCTGCCCCTTCTGGGTGACCCCCGAGACCTTCTGTGTGCCCCCACTCAAGTCCATGGCCATGCACCTGCACTTCCAGCCGCCCGGCCCCCACGGGCTCTACGCTGTGGAGCTCGAGGCCTTTGCTGTTTACCAGGTGCGTATATAAGATGCTCTGGGAAGGCGGCACAGTGCCTGGGGCCTGAAGGGCAGGGATGGTGTGGGATGGATCACAGACGGTGCTGCAGGGCCCTACCCTCCATGCCAGGATTCTCCCACTTTCTCCTGGGCTGGACAGCAACCCCCACTGCTTTGACCCTCCCAGGCACGTGGTTCAGCTCTGGTCTCCTTACCTATATCTCATTCATGTGTGGCCTCCCTCTTCTGGGGGGAAGAACCAGGCCTGGATCAAGCCTTTTAGGAAAATTTGGTGCCCTGGAAGTAGCTCCATGGGGCATCTGACTAAGGGTTTCTGATTTCTCTTCTAGTTCTTGAAGTAGAAAGTGGTCTCTTAAAAGCAGGGATCCCCAAACCCCAAGTCACAGACTGGTGCTATGGCTTGTTAGGAACCAGGAAGCACAGCAGTAGGCAAGCAAAGCTTTGTCTATATTTACAACCACTTTCTATCACTGAAACTGCTACGTGAGTGCCAGCTCCTTGCCAGGTCAGTGGTGGCATTAGATTCTCTTAGGAGTGAACCTGGATGTGAACTCTGCATGCAAGGGACCTAGCTTGTGTGCTCCTTATGAGAATCTAATGCCTCATGATCTTAGGTGGAGCTGAGGCAGTGATGCTAGTGCTGGCTGTAAACATATATTAACATCAGCAGAGAAGTTTGACTGCATAGAGACCATAATAAATCAACTGCTTGCAAACTCATACCCTATCAGTGAGTGACAAGTGACATTTAAGCTGCACCTGGTGATAGCACATAAAGAGGCAAGTGAGTTGATGACTTCAGTTGTACAGCCACATATGAAGGTAGGCTTTAAGTCAGAACCTAATGCTTACTTTAGTCCACACATGACCTGCCCATTATTTTGTTTACCACTTCCATCCCTGACTCTTTGCAGCACTGTGCACGTGTCTCAGTCATAGTTTTGGTAGCCCACAAGCTAGCCGTGGCCAAAATAAATAAAATACAAACATAACTGGAGAACTTCTTTGAAAAGGAGGAAGACCCAATAATAAGTCAGCCGAAAACTCCAAGATGGCCAAGAAAAGAAAGCTGCCTTTGGAAGAATACACCAAGAGTCCTACTTAAATTATGAGGTCCCTGAAGCAGGTGATTTACATTCTCTAAGCCCGCTTTTTATAATATATGACGACCAGTTATCTGGTAAGGGTCAGAAACCTTCAAAGCTGCTTTGCCACATGGAGACCATGCATCCTGGATTAAGAAACAAATCTTTGGGCTGGGGATTTAGCTCAGCGGCATTAGCACCTGCCTTACAAGCAGGTGGTCATGAGTTCAATCCCTGGTACCGGTAAAAAAAAAAAAAAAAAAAAAAAAGAAACAAACCTTTGCTGGGCGTGGTGGCTCACGCCTGTAATCCCAGCACTCGGGAGGCTGAGGCAGGAGGATCATTGTGAGTTGGAGACTAGCCTGGGCTACAAAGTGAGCTCAAGGCCAGCCTGAACTGCATAGTGAGACCCTGTCTCAAAAAGACAAAAAAAAGAAAGAAACAAACTTTTGGGGTTTTTCAAGAGAAAACACAAGGGGCCAGAGATATAGCTCAGCAGCCCAGTACCTACCTGGCAAACACAAGCTCCTGAGTTTGAGTCCCAGTAACAAAAACAAAACAACTACAAACATGAAGAATACAAATAATGATTGAAAGTTACAACTTCATCACATGTGCGTGTACTGAGAGCATCATTCCTATTGGCATTGCTAAAGCTAAGGAGCCCTTGACTGTTGGTGACGAGTTGATCCTGCCTGCTGCTAAGGACAGCTATGAACTTTCATGAGAGTCTGTAATTCAAAAGGTGGGACCCGTTCCTCTTTCCACCAGTACCATAACGAAGCCAGCTGACAAGGCCAGTGGATACTGAGTCACAATTGTTAGAGACAATTAGTGAACACCATGTCGTGGGATCCAGGTTGAGGAGCCTCCTGACGTTTTCAGCAAGGCAACAGTGCTTGTTCTTGGCCAATGTATTTTTCAGGAGGGTTGCGTGAAGATATGTTATTGGCACCTTGATTGCCAGTCAACACCACCAATGAGAGCAAGTCAGGTCCTTGAGTGATTACGTGTCAAGGAAAGGGAACTGTTCATTTCATATCCGCACACACATGAGCAAAAGTGCTTCTGAGACCGGGAGAGCCTTCTGGTTTCATTATGCAGGTCAAAGAGCTGGCTTCTGGTTGTAAATCTAACACTGCCATCCACAGAGAAATTCTGGATGGCTGAAAATTTTCACCTGAAATTAACAACATTTTGCAGGATGTGATTAAAGCTGTTAAGCACCTTAAAGTGCATGCCCTCGATGCATGTTTGCAGCTCTGTGAGGACATGGATGCAGAACACAGTCTTCTCTCTTCTTCTTCTTTTTTTTTTCTTTTCTTTTTTTTTTCTTTTGAGACAGGGTCTTGCTGTATAGTTCACGTTGGCCTTCAGTTCACTGTGTAGCCCAGGCTGGCCTCGAACTTGCTGTGGTCCTCTTTCCTCAGCCTCCCAAGTGTTGGGATTACAGGCATATATCACTATGCTTGACATAGTTCTCTTTGATAAACAGAAATAAAATGACTCTCTTAATACACACTGGCCAGGAATTTTGAGCTATAACAGCTCCTCCCGAGATTTCTTTTGGGGAAAAAAAAAAAAAAAAAACAGTTACCACTGGTACCACATTTCAGTGATAAAGAATGGATCACTAAACTTTATTATTCATGTGACGTAGCCCGCTCAGCAAACTCAGTCTGTCACTTCAGGGGAGAATGACAATGGTGTTCAAGTCAGCAGACCCATCTCTCGGCATTCTGGATTGAAGTCCAGTGAGAGTACCCTGAGATTGCCACAGAAGCACTAATCATCAGCCTGCTTCCAGTGCTGGCATCTGGTCTGGATGAGGCAGGGTTTTGTGCACTACCACAATGAGATTATAGTATAGACTGGACATAAGCCACACACTTTGGGTACCACTGTCTCCTGCCACCCACTGACAAGACCATGTAGTTGCAGAAAAACAAGTTCAGGGCTCGAACTGATTGTGCATTGTAGCAAGTTGTAGAATTATTTCCCTACATATTAGATTGTAATAATAGAAATAAAGCACACAGTAGGTGTAATGTGTTTGAATCATCAAAACTGTCCCCCAACCCCATTCATGTAAAGAAGCTTTCATGAAACCCAAATCAAGAAGGTTGGGGACCACTGCATTAAAGGAGCTCTCAGCAGGCAGGAACCAGGTCTGGGGACAGAGGCTGGGTGCCTGATAATGAGGTGTGTCAGAGGAGGGCTTTTCTAGCACAGCCTCCCTTCTCAGGACCTCAGCACTCAGGCTGGCCCCAGCCTGGGACCTCTTAGATCCTGTGTGTCCCCAGGCAGCCCTACTCTCTCTTCCTTCCCAGCTCGGCCTGGTGCTGGGCCAGAGAAGAGCAGATAAGTATGCAGTCAAGACCAGTCACAACAGGGGATACAGCTCAGTGGCATAAGCGCCTGCCTAGCAAACTCAAGATCGTGAGTTTGATTCCAGTACCAAAAAAAGAACAGTTAACTACCAGCTCTGTGACTCTGGGCAAGTTCCTAAATGTTCCTACCAGCCCTGGTGCTCTCACCTATAAAGCTGGAGGCCGTATCCAGGCTTTCGAGAAGGCTTTCCAAAGCAGTCTTTACCTGTCTCCCTTCTGGCATCTTGGCAGCCTTCGGGGAGAAAGTGGAGGTTTGTACGAATAAAGCGCAGACTCCTTGCTTGGCCTCGGCTGAGTGCATCAGAGTTTTAGCTTACAGCACTGTGCTGTCTGATAAGACAGCCACCGGCCACAGGTGGCCACTGGGCACTTGGCATGTGGCTGGTCCAAACAGAGATGTGCTGTAAAGTATAAAAGATACACAGATTTCAAAAGAAAGCAAAATATCTCCTGACTCATTTTATGTATATTATGTGTTGAAGTGATAAGATTTTGGATCTATTGGGTTGAGTAAAAGATGATTGAAATTAATTTCACATGTTTTACTTTTTTCATGTGGCCAGTGGAACATTTAAAAATCACATTTGCGGCCAGCATTTGTGGCTCCTGTTCTATTTCCATTGGCTGGCACTTCCCAGGGTTCATTCCTACAGAATGAATGGTGCTTTCACATCCCGCCCCACCCTCCTCTCAGGCAGCTGTGGGGATCCAGAGAGGGTTTGCAAGTGCTCAGTCCAGGTCCTGGCTTGTGCAGGAGGGACTGCGCAGGGCTGCTGCTCTAAGCGCTGTCTTCTCCTTTCTGTGCTCAGCTTAGACCCCTGTGGCCCATGGGGCAGGGGTGGGGACAGGCAGAGCAGCTGCCTTCCACCTCGGACTTGGGCCCTGAGCTGCTTCTGGGGGTGGCCCCCTGCAGGTCCTGCAGAGCTACCACAACATCGAGGAGGACTGCACCGTGTGCCCATCTTGGTGTGTGACGGTGCGGGCTCGAGGCCACAGCTACAGTGCTGCCTTGGAGCACCACGTGCCCCAGTATTTCCTGGATGCACCCAAGGTGAGCATGGCCCCACCAGCAGTCGGTGGGGAGGACGCCTGGCTTCTGCCTCAGCCAGCACAGCGCTCTTCTCCTGGTGGCCTCAAGTCAGATCCCGCATCCTCACGTCCCCACCTCCTGGCTGGCCAGTGGAAGACTTGCCCCTGGAGCATGGCACTAGCACAGGGACAGTCTGTGAGTTGGACACCGGGCCCTCGCTGCTTCCTCTGAAATGTTTGCTCTCAGGTTTACAACTTTCCAGCTCCTTCATTGGTTGGTGCCTTGTTTATTGAGCATCTCTAGGCACCAAATCCTGGGTTGGACTCTAAGGATACAGCAGCCCAAACCAGGAGGCCCTGGGGCACACTATTCAGGAGTCAGCATCCCTAGGCCTTCCCCAAGACCCTTGGAGGCCCTCTTGGCCTGTGAAGCCTGATGGTGTTGGCTGAGAAGTTGAGAGCTGGGGACCAGGCTGCCAGCACCCAGCTCTGGTTTGGCCTCTGTCCTTCCTCCCAGTCTTCATCACTACCCTCAGCTCTCCCATTGGTCTTACGGATGGAATGGTGCCCCCTTGAGACAATAGCTTGGATGATTCTCACTCCCCCCAGCCACACTTCTGCCCTGCGGTTCCCATCCCCCACCCCCCACCCCCAGCCAGCTCAGGGCTTGCCCCTTCCCAAAGTGCCCCGCGCCTCTCAGGGTTCTCAACACTGACACCCTCTTTCCCTCTCCTGTGGTCTGCAGCCTTTCCCAAGATCCCGCAGACTTCACGCCAACTCACACTCATGCATTTGTTGTCCTAGATGGGTGGGAACTTGGGTCAGAGACTGTGAGCCTTGTGTTCTGTAGCCTGTGCAGCTCTTAGCATAGGGCTGGCCACTCCCTGGATTCCCAGGAGAGGTGGGGATCTGGGACTTAGGCTGGGCTCCCACTAGCCACCTGCATGAGAGTCACCTAGAAGGAGCTACCTATCCTTGAGCTACTGAACCCAGATCTCTGACAATGGTTCTTCCAAGAGCAAAGGCACTTCACTGAAAGGACTTCTCCTCTAGCCATAAGAACGGACCTCGGAGGCTTATGTTGCTCCAGTACCCAGACCACCATGTCTGGAGGTCTCCAGAGGGCAGAGCGTTCTCTGAGCCAGGCTGTGGCCTCTTTCAGTTCCCAGCTCCTAGGGTATCAGCTGGGCTGTAAGCAGGCATCTTGGATCCCCTGGGAGAGCCCTGCCCAAGCCCACACACACCCTGGTGTGTATCTGGAGGGTGTGGGGATCTGTGCAGAGCTTCGGCTTTCTTCCTCTTCCCTCCGGCCCCTAGCTGTTTCCTGCAGTGCCTGCCGGCAAACCTTCCTACCGCAGCCTGCTCCTGGTCAACAAAGGCTCCATGCTGCTGACCTTCAGCCTGACCCCCAATAGCAGCTCGGACATCACCCTGCGGCCCACCTCAGGCCTCCTAGCCCCGGGTGCCCACCAGATCTTCCTCATCAGCACCTACCCCAAGGGCACCTCCTGGAAGCAGCACATTTTCTACCTGGAGTTTAATTTTGGTTCCCAGTATCTCAAGGTAAGAAGCAGGGCCAGGAATATCCACAGTCCAGAACTTCCTGATCGGGGGTTGGCTTTTAAAGAGAAAGCCCATTCCTCTTTGCAAAGTAGCATCCCAGAGAAAGATCCCTTGGCTGCCTCTGTGGACAACTCTGCCGCCCCTCGGAGCCCTGCCTGTCCCTCTCACAGAGTACAGGACCAGCACAAAGGGTGCAGAGATCCCAGACTCACTCCTGCAGGTGGGAGAGCAGTATCTGGAGTGAGCCCAGGGATAGGCTTGGATAGAAGACCCATGTCCAACCCCACAAAATGGTCCATCCGCCCCTTCTCAGTTCAAGTTCTTTTCTGTCTGCTTGTGACAAAAGCTGCTATGTCCAGGTTGGTAGACGGCCTTTGCTGCCCCTTCCAAAAGGAAAAGCTCCCACCTATGGCAGCTTGGATGTGGAGGGATGCAAGACCACAACGTGAGGTCAGATACTGGCCTATTTCCTTTGGCCCAGGAGGTGAGCATGCAGAGTCGAGAGGAGCCGCTGCAGCTGAAGCTGGACACCAGCAAATGTGTCTTCTTCAAGCCCACCTGGGTGGGCTGCTCCTCTGACAGCCCCTTCACCTTCCGAAACCCCTCCCGTCTGCCCCTGGAGTTCGAATGGAGGATCTCCCAGCAGCACCAACAGACACTGGCTGTGCAGCCCTCCAAGGGGCTGATCCAGCCCAATGAGAGCCTTGTGAGTGTTGAGGGCTGGGGTGGGTGGGTGCTGCCTTTACCTCTGTCACCTCTCACTCACGACTCTCACTGTCACTGGCCGTGGTGCCTTTCAGCTCACAGTCCCCTCCCCTAACTGAAAGGAGGTGTTGTTATCACCACCCCCTCAACCTATTCCACAGTGAACTGAGACTTGCGGGGAAAGCCCTTCACTGAGACCAGGGTTAAGATGTATAGAGCTGGGAATGGACTCAGGGTTTCTGATGCCAGGGCCCAGCGCATGTTCATGCTTTGCCATCCATGGTCCCCAAAGACATAGATTGCTGGTAGTGGTGGCTTGGAGCAGCTGAACTTAGGGTCAATTGAGTGGCTCTCAGTAAAGGGTGAAGAAGGGGATCCCCAGAGGTCCCAGCTGAAGCATGAAGGGGGACGTAGTGTGGAATCCAGAATAGCAAATCACATTACAGGCTAGCTGGGGACAGTAGACTCAGAGCAAGAACCACTAATACATGGTATCCCAAGAGCCCAAGGACAGTAAGTAGTGGTGGGAGGGGCTGTGCCTACTCAGGTGTCAGCCTTGAGTGTCCCCCCGTCCCTGCCCTCACCAGCTGTCTGACCCTGAGCCAAGTCCTGGACTTCTCCAGTTTCTCATCCCAAAACAGGCCTTGAAAATAATACTACTGAGCTGTGGCGAGGACCAGGATTGAGGGCTCAGGGAGAGGATATGTTGTCTGAGGTGTGCAAAGTGCCCAGTACAGGGTAGATACTCAAGAAGCATTGCTAAAGCTTGACACCCAACAATGGGACCTTCACTGGCCAGGAGTTCCAGGGCAGTGGCATTCTGAAGGCCTCCATGCAGTGACCATCTCTTTGATCCCAGACACTGACATGGATCTTCAGCCCTTTGGAGGAGACCAAATACCTGTTCCGAGTGTGGATTTTGGTCTGGGAAGCTGGCCTGCACCCAGATGCCAAGCCATCTGCCACTATGTACTACATGATCCGACTGGTGGGCTTGGGCATCACCAGCAGCCTCTCTGTGAGTGGGAGGTCTGGGGGCAGGGAAGGATCCTGGGTGCCCAACTCCAAAGGACAAGGAAAGGAGCCCTCTGTCTCCCTAGCCCATGCCCCTGGACCTGCCCTGGCTGGGGGGATACTCTGAGGATGGGACCAAGCAGCAGGGCTGGGGGTCTGGGGGAGCCCCTAGCAGTCCTTAATGTGGCCTCAGGCTGAGACAAAGGAGCTGGACTTTGGAAACATGCTGGTGGACAGCAGACAGTCCAGGAGCCTGGTGCTCCTGAACGACGGCAACTGCACCCTCTACTACCGCCTGTACCTGGAGCAGCACAGCCCCGAGGGCCCTAATCAAGACCCCCCTGGTACTGGACCTGGGCTGGACTGGGACCAGGGGAGATATGTAAACATGGGGGTGTGGCAGGGGTGTCCCTTAAGACAGGTTACTACACCATGGTCTGGGGCAGACTGAGCAGAGCTTGAATCTTAATGTCTCCACTTCATAGCTATGTGCTCTGGGCAGATGATTAGGACTCCCTGAGCCTCAGCTTCCTCAGCTGTGAAATGGGGCTACTAGTGATATCCATCCACCTCACAGAGCTGCTAGGTGGAGAAAAGTGCCCATGACACAAAGAAGTGTGGCTCTTCTGTGCCAGCCTGGGAGGAGAGTTCTGCTCCATTTCCTGACTAGGTGTTGTGCTGGCCCAGGGAGGGTAGATGAGAAGGCACGGGCGAGGCCAGGCTACCTCTGCCCACTGACCCTAGCTGCACCACCCCAAGCAGCTCTGCAGCTGGAGTGCTGTGAGGGGAGTGTGCCACCTCACTCCCAGGACACCGTCATCCTGACCGCCTGCCCCAAGCGCAGGGCCCAGTACTCCTGGACCATCAGCTACTCTCTCCTGTCCCACAGAGGTACCTGGGCATCATGTGGAGAAGCCAGGGCCAGGGAAGGCAGAAGGGAAGTGGAGGAGCTGTATGGGGCAGGGCTGGGCGCATGCTGAGGTCAGAACCACTGCATGGGGATCAGGTCCCTGCCAGATTGTGCCCTTGGGCGTCTGCCGTGGACACTGCGTCTTTCTGTGTGAATCCACAGGTGTGCACACCTGAGCTGTGGAAAACCCCACAGGAAAGGTTAGGGGCGTGCTGATTTCCGGTGAGCCTCAGCTTTCTGCCCCATCAAATGGAGTCATTATTAACCTTGCCCTGTGGCAGGCAGGTAGGAGGAGGCATCAGAAGGACGCTGACTCAGTGGGATTGGAGCCTGGCTCCCACACTTACTTAGCCCCTGGGTAGTTTTAGCAAATTGTTTCGCTTCCCTGGGCTTCGGTTTCCTCATAGAATGTGGCACACAGGCCGCAGAAAGGAATGGCGCAGTGACATGTGCTGACATGCAGAGGGAGTTTGAAAATATGATGCTAAGTAAAAGGAGCCAGTTGCAAAAGCCGCACATTACATAGCTCCATTTGTATGAAACATCTAGAATAGACAGAAACAGACAGGCACAGTGCAGACCAGAGGCTGCTAGGAGAGGAGAGGAAGAGGGGTGCAGGGAGAGAGGGTTAATTAGTACTTGCTGTCCTCTTGCAGGTGATGGAAACTTTCTAAAATTAGACAGTGGTGAGGGTTACACAGCACTGTGAATATACAGAAATCACTGAATCATATGTGTTAAAAGGGCAGATTTTACAGGAGATAAGTTGCGCCTCAATAAAGCTGTTACTAAACATTAGTTTGAAAACAAAGATACACGTTAAACGTGAAGACATGTGCCAAGTACTAAGGACAGTGCCTGGCACAGAAAAATATCGGGCAAGGGTCAGCTGCCCTTGGAAACACCCCAGAGCCTAAGGCGTAGTTCTGGGAGGGAGGCTAGCTGCTGTCTCCCACACATGCGCCCCCAGATAACAAGGTTGGTGAGAAGCAGAAGCTGTGTCAAGTCTCCCTGGTGGCCGTGTACCCCTTACTCTCCATCCTGGATGCCTGCGCCCTGGGTGGGGCTGAGGGCATCACCCGGAAGCACCTGCGGCGCCTCTTCTCCCTGGACACCCTCAATACTTACTTGGGGTGTGACCCCACCCCCCGTGAGCTCACCTACAAGGTGCCCACCCAGCACAGGTGAGCAGAGGCCAGAGGGAGCCGGGCCTGCTGGGGATGTTTCTGCAACTGTCTACCCATGCACCAGCACCAGGCTGTGTCTAAGAAGCTGCTTCCCATCTGTGTAGGGGAGGGAACCCCAAGTTCTTACCCTTCCCCTGGAGGAGATTGGAGAGGCAAGGCTTGGCTTGAGGTCAGAAGAGCTGACCCATCCCTGCCTCTGAGTTCCCTGTTCTCTGACTCCTAGTTTTGAGGGATAGGAGGAATCCATGCCAGTCGAACACACACCCCCAAAACCCCACCCTGTCCCCATCTCTAGCTCTGAGCCCAGGGCTTTCTCTGCTTTGCAGTGTGAGCCAGATCCCCCCTGTCTTTACCCCTTTGAAACTCGACTTCAACTTTGGGGCGGCGCCGCTCAAGGCTCCACCCTCCGTGGTGCTCCTGGCCATGAAGAACAGCGGCGTGGTGCCCTTGGACTGGTATGGCTGGGCTGGCAGGGCTGCTGGGGGGCTCAGGGTTGGCCCTAGAGGCCAGGAGGTTGGAGGAGCCACTTCCTCTTGTCAACGGGAGACTTTGTCTGCAAGGAGTGGGACCCCACTGACAGACTGTGGAGGCCCAGCTGGTCCTGGGGTCACCCAGAAACACCCAGAAGCAGCCTGTCGCTGGCTGACCCATGTGTCAATAGACTCACGGCAGAGGGCCCTTGCTCTGATCAAGTCTGCTGTAGCTGTCTCAGTGACTGAATGAGTGAGAACCTCTCGCTGCGCCAGGCTCCAGCTTCATCTGCAGATGCTCCCAGCAGGGGGAGGGCTGAGGCCACTCAGCAATTAGCCAGTTCAGACCCCTTCACGTTCTACCCCAGGGCCCCTGCCTACACTGTTAGCCAGCTTCTGCATACCGGGATATCCAGGTGCTGGCTGCCTGGCAGGTCCTACTTTAGTCACAGAGGCCAGGCCTGGAGCTCTGCCTCCCTGGGCTGCACCCTTGTCCTGTGGGGGCCCAGAACTGGTGCCCAGGCCACATCTTGTTCCCATGCCAAGGTTTGTTCTTCTTCCTCCTCCCTGCCTCTGCTAAGCGCCTGGATTTCCTAGTAAATGTCCTTTAGATGACTTCCAATTTTGCTGGACTAGCAAGAAGTGAAAAAGGAGGGTCCCTGGCCCGGCATGGTGGTAGTGGGAGAAAATGGAAGCACACGGGCTGGGACTTTGTAGCAGGAGGCCTGCCTGCTGGAGCAGAGGAAGTCCTTGGATGGGAGATGCAGGCAGGGTGGGGTGCACGGTCAGGTGTGCCCTGCTTAAGCCCTTCTCGCTCTGCATGGGGGAGTGAGATGAAACTGGCTTGCAAGCAGGTCTGCCTGAGAAGGGCAGAGCTCTGAGGACATAAGGGCTTCCAGTCCACAGTCTCTGTGGCAGCTTGGCAGGGCTGCTGGCCCGGGGCGTGGGGCCTGGCTCTACGCGCTCCAGATCTGCCATTCACCAGGCTGGGAGGCAGGCTGGGAGCCAAGCCCCACAGGGCCGAGTGTTGGCCTGGCTCCCGGAGTGGCACGGGGCGTTTGGGGGGCCGCAGACTGTGTGTGTTTGGGTAGGAGCAGTGCAGCTCACACTCTGTGGAGAGGGTCCAGGCTGCTGGAAACCAAGGCGGGAAGAAGCCCAGGCAGCGTGCCTGCCGGCAGGGGATCACTTAAGGTACAGGAAGGCGGGTTGTGCTGCTTCCAGGGTTCCGAGGGGCCTGGCTCTTCTGTGCTTTCTGCGTTGCTGGGTTTCCTTTCAATTTCTTAGAAGGCTATTTTTGCAAATTCTCGCCTGTCTCTGCTGAGCTCATAAGGAACAGACTTATTCCTGCCAGGACCAGTCAGGCGGGGTACTTGGCTGGGAGGCAGCAACAGGGAGGACAGAGGAAGAACCCCAAGTGGGAAGGGGAGCCCCCACGTGGGGAACAGGGAGCTATACAGCTAGTCCTGCGCACCTATGCTGTGCTCCAACTCAGGATCTTGCATTTAAGAAGAGGATTCGTACAGATGTCAGGTGTGCTGGTCAGTGTTGTCTGTTCACCTGTGCACTGTCTGTCTGTCTGTTCCACTGGCTGAACCTCCAGTGGTGCTCCAGAGCTGCAGGCTTCAGGCTCATCCTCAGAATAGGTGTCAATGGCCCAGGGACCAATGGCTGGGGCCAAGCTGCCTTCCTCTGTGGGGTGATGTGTGCTGTGAAGAGGGTGTCAGCCTTCAGAGCATCACTGCGACGTTTTGGTTGGGGCCAGAGCACCAGAAAGTCTTCCTACAGAAAGGAAGGTGGGAAAAAGCTTTCTACCTATTTCCCCCAAAATAAAATCGGGTGTTACATTAATTTTGGCTCCAGCAGGATGTGATGGCACATGCCTGTTATCCCAGCACAAAGGAGGCTGAACCAGGAGGACTGCTGTGAGTTCAAGGGCAGCCTGAACTGTAGAGTGAGACTCTAAAAATTTTTTTTTGCTCTAAAAGAAGCAATCTGGCTTACTTTCAGGAGAAGTCTTATTTTGTGTGTGTGTAACAATCTACATTTATTCATTTACTCGTATAAAAATCTACATTTATTCATGTACAAAAATCTACATTTATTCAAATTCAGTCAAGTTATCTTTTCTGGACCATCATCATAACTCTCTAAACCCCCAATTCAAGCTTGAGTTTCTTGCAAGTCCTGGAGAAGCATTGGCCCCAATCGCTTATATGCAGTCGTAGAGCTGTCTTTAAATGACTGCTTCTTGTCCGTATAGCCTGCTCACAATGCCTTGGCAACCCGGCTGTTGGGGATTATATCCCAGGAATTCTCCACAGCCAGTCACAGCCTCTTGCAGGCTGAGTTCACAAAGTTTGTATGACATCAAGTGTTAACTGAAGGGCTACAAGATGGCAGTGGCCACAAAATGACAATAGCTGAGAATGATGGTCCACACAAAAGCGTCGAACAGTTGCAGGCCCTGAAATCCAGAAAATGTTGCTTTATTTCACATGAGTGTGTTGGGTGTGTCCTTTACTATATGTGCCATGAAGACTCACACTGGAAGTGTGCACATCTGCCATGCGCTGTATCTGTCCTCCAGTTGATCATTTGGCAACTTGAAGTTTCAGGTTCATCCATTTACACAGGAATTTAACTCCTTTCTAAAGGTACCCACTTAGGTATTTGCAGGTATTTGATTATAATTTATGTTGTCATTTATTTTAAGGATCAACGTCAATGGGATGTGTTTGTATTTTATTGTTTGTTAATATCACTATCTTGTAACTTAGTTCCCTGTGACGTGGATGTACTAAATGCATCCATGTAGCTCGTGATCTCAGCTGGAGCTTATTTTCAGGGTATGGCTTCTATTGCAAGCATCTTGAAAAAATCATGTTAGGACTTCTTTTCCAGTCACACCTATTTTTAAGAATTCATGATAGAGAAAACTACAGCCAAGCTGGACCTGAAACAGGAGGGCAAAATGCAGAAGGCTGCAAAGCCTTCACATGAATCCTGGTGTGTGTGTGTGGGGGGGGGCGCTGGAGGGACAGAGGAGAGACCCTAGGTGCAGCTGGAAAGAGGCGGGGCCTGGAGTCTTGCTTCTGGGACCCTGGACTTCCTCCTGGGGGATAAAGGCCTGTCACTGCTCTCCGGCTAGGATGGGGCAGCAGCTGAAGCCAGAGACAGGTGTGGCAGTCACTCACAAATTGGGCACAGCATCCACACTAGAGGCCCTTCAGGGGGGATTATTTAATGGGGACAAAGGAGATGCTGCTACTGCCCTGAAGACCCCCAAACAGCAAAATCTCCAATTTTTCTGCTGTTTATTAGGCCTCAAATAAAATGACAAAAGTAATTTATTCACCCATAGTAAGTCAAATGATAGTAAGTCAAATGATACACGGGTGATGGGAGAAAAGTAAGGCCCCCCCCCCAAGAAGTCCACTGCCAAGGGGTGAGGGCTTGGAGGGGGCTTGCTGCTCTCAGCGTTTGCATAACACGCAGACTCATGTATTCAGAGCAGGACACATAGATCCAGCTCCTTCTTTATATTTTATTTATTTATTTTTGGTATTGGGGATTGAACTCAGGATCGCGCACTTGCAAAGCAGGCGCTTAAGCTGCTGAGTTAAATCCCCAGCCCTATCTCCCTTTGAACAGTTGCATAGTGCTCCACACTCACAGGTGAGCACTTAGGCTGTTAAGTGTCTGTTTCCCTGGAAGATTGAGTTGTTCCCAGCTGCATTTTTTGCCACTGCAAAAAGACGAAACATGTTGTAATAAACACTTTGTGTGTTTGTATGGGTGTGTGTGTATGCATATGCACATGCACATGCATACTTTTATTTCTGCAGTTTAATTCCCCAAAGTGGGATTTTTAGGTCCAAGGGCATGCACGTTTTTTTTCCCAACAGATGTTTCCAAAATTTTTTCCAAAACGTTGAAGCATCTTCCCTCTCTCCTGCTTGTCTTTGGGGTTTCTGTTCTTCTAAAACTTAACAGCATTGGCTATAACTTATCTTTAACATTAATAATGTGAAAAAATTTGAGACTGGTTCCTCTGGAGAGTTTTGGTTTGCATTTCCTTGTCTCCTGCTGAAGTTTTCCAGAGACATGTTAGTTGTTTCCCACCCACCATCCCCTGCCTCTTCCTCCCGGGCTGAATCTCTTTTTCCCTTTCTGGATTATTCTCTGCTTCCCTTGTTGGCCTAGTTTGTGGCTGGAGCCAGTTCTGTGCCATCTCTGTGAGAGAGAAGGATGCTCCGTCAGACTGGCCTCAGGGCCCTCCATCACTGGTTTTGCCAGCTGGAGGGCATTATCTACTTTCCTTTGTGTGAGCCACTTCCAGGACAATTACTCTATATAGACTTGCTTATTACCATAGTGTAGGCCCTAGCTTTACGTGGTGGTACATGTCTAGCATTCTGGGAGGCTGAGGCAGGAGGATTGCAATCTCAAATTAGTGAGACTTTGTCTCAAAATAAAGAGCTTCATGTGAATACCCTGAGTTTAATCTCTAATGCCACAAAACACAAGCATGCTGGGTGCCTATCCTTTACCCAAGTGGCTGTTTCCAGCGTGGCCTCCACTCTCTCCTTCTCAGGAGTTCTGGGTGGGTTGCCAGCATTCACAGAAGCCTCAACTGGCCCCTCCCCAAGAGCTTTAGTGAAGAAGGGTTTGCATCCTGCTCTAAGCAGCTCGCTTGATTTCTGGCACCCACAATGGGACCCCCAGTCTTTACTGCTCCTTTAGTCACTGCGGCCCTTCTTCTGTTCCTAGGCTTGGGGGCCATTTAGAAATGAGACTCCGCACCAGCCACATCTGCTCCGCCAGGCAAGGGACACCTGCCAGCTGGGGGATGGTGTGCAGGCGGTGTGAGCGAGGTCTCTGTCTGTCCTGCAGGGCTCAGAGCACAGCGCTCCTGCGACCCTCTGTCCATACCGACCGGTTCTTTGCACAACATCACCCACATTTTCCTCTGCACCCTTCTCCAGGGCCTTTCTCTTTCCAAGTGACCAGAAAATTGGCTTGGAGCTGTGGGCAGAGCAAATAGAGTTTGACTGCACTGAGCTCCACCAAATGCGCATAGAGGATAATCGAATCTTTTCCATCAGCCCCAAGGCTGGAAGCCTGAGCCCTGGGCAGGAGCAGATTGTAGAGCTCAAATACAGGTGCCCCACCCCCACCCCTACCCTGCACTTCTGCCCTGATGCGGGGTGGGGGGGGTCCTTTCCCTGGCCTTTCACTGCAGGATGCCTGAGTGCTGTAAATAGCCACGCCCCTGGGAGAACCCTCTTCCCATCCCCGGGGGACTCTTAATGTCCTTCTTACCTCTCCCAACTCAGGGGTGAGCTGCTCCCAGGAGCTAGGTGGCTCAAAGCCCCTGACATGCCATGTCCATTTGTCCTCCCACTTGCACCAGGGCTCAAAAACTCACTTCCGGATGTGTCTCCTCCCTTCTAGCCACCTGTTCATAGGCACCGATCGCCTCCCTGTGCTCTTCAAGGTGTCCCACGGCCGGGAGATCCTGGTGAGGCCCCAGCACTCTGGTCCTGGCCTCTGTCTTAGGCTGGAGGATGGGCTAGCTGGACAACTAAGAAAAGCACAGAACAGAACTCCCCTGGGGAAGCGGGTCCAGATCTCTCTGCAGCGTAGGTGAAGGATGCCACCCGTGGACTTTTTATTTCCAGCTAAATTTCATAGGTGTGACAGTGAAGCTGGAGCAGAAGTACGTTCACTTCACGTCCACGATCCACCAGTTCATCCCTGTCCCCATCGGAGACACGCTACCCCCACAGCAGGTCAGTGCCCAGATCGTGCTGGTAGCCAAGAGAGCTAAGTGCTGATTAATGCATGTATGTGTCAGCCCTCCTGAAGCACCTAAGAGGCGGGGTTGGCAGGTTGAACCCCCAGCCTAGGCAGCTGGGGAGACCCACAGCAAGAGGCTTCAGTTTCCTGGTACCTGATATGAGGCTCTTTCGCCAGGCTCAGTTCTCATGCAAACGGGGGTGATTTTTCTCCTCTAGCATGTGGTTCTTCAAACCTCTTTGACCATGAGCCATAATAGTTTAACATTTATAGATGTTTAGATGGCGCTATATGTACACATCTGCAGCCAAACAAAAATACCTCAAATATGTATACCTAGGCTACCCCATGCAAAGAATGCTGATTTCTCTTTTTTATTTTATTCTGTTCCATTTTTCTCATTTTAAAAAAACGCTGAATATGACTTACTAAACTGATGTAGAATGCCCAGTAATAAGTCCAAGCCACAGCTGGAGGGAATCTGGTACATTTGTTCTGACAGCGTATGCTGGAACTCTTCAAGAAGGGGCCATAATATTTTCAGCAACATTTCATAGCCATGAGATCTTAGGCAGAAGCCGTATGGAATCCCATGTAGAAGCTGCTGCAGTTCTGGGCAGGGGTCTCTAGCTCTGTTCAGACCTATGCACTGTCTGCTCCCCCCAGTTTCCCAGCAGCGTGACTTGAGGCTGGGATAGAGGTAGCTGGGTTTGAACTGCAAGGGACAAGTAGTGCCACTGAGGGTGGGGGCAACAGATTCCAAGCAAAGACTTTGGTTTTGTTCAAGTCTGAGAGCTCTGAGCAGCAGAGGTTGGATCTGGTTGTCTGTTTGTTCTGGCTGCTATAATAAGTTACCACAGATTGAGGGACTTATAAAAAACAGAAATTTCTTTAGTTCTAAAGGCTGAGAGGTCCAAGAGGAGGGCCTCGGCAGGTGCTGTGTCTGGAGAGGGTTTGTTCTCCTGGCGCATGGATGGCACTTTGTCACTGAGTTGTCACGCTGTGGGAGAAACCAGTGGACTCCTTTGGGCTTTTTTGCAAGGGCATGGATTTCTTTCATGGGAGTTCCACCTTCATGCCCTAAAGACCCCACCTCTTAGTCCTGTCACACTGAGGTTTTAACACATGAATTTTTTGAGGGGGGAGCAAACATTCAGCCCACAGCATCAGGTTGGGAGACTGATGGGATGGGCCAGGCTGGAGAAATAGCTTATCCAGGATCCAGTGCTGAGAACCATGAAAAGGGTCCAGGACTGATCCAGGTGAACTCTACTCTTCTGGCTTCAGTTTTTTCTCACCTCTAAAAAGGATTGGCCCAGAAGACCACCGGGTTCTCCCAAGCCATTCTTTGGAGTCAGTCTTGAGGCCCTTCAGAGATCCCTTCCATCCCCTTAACTGCATGGAGCAGGACTTCCTCTAATGGCAGACATACAAAGTCCTCATGGGGGGGCTAGAATGACAGCCTATAAAATGATGAGGCGTCTGGGTGGTTCATACGTTGGCTTGGGCTTAAACCTAAATCCTAGCACCAGGGACACTCACACTAGGGTTGCTTATAGTTTGACAAAGGACAGTTGAAGGCAAATAGAGTAAGCTGCATCTTTACAAATAGGATTACAGGTTAACCTAAAATGTCATAGCTGACTATACAGATGCATCTTTTTACATGATCAAGTTTTCAGAGGAACTTAGGGATCTCAGGGTGGCACCATGGAGCTCAACCTGCTCTCCCCTAATGGATCTAATGTATTGGACTCTGATCTGAAGTCTTGGGCTGCTGTGGAGATATCTTTATTCTGCCCTTCCCCCACAGATTTATGAGCTCTATAATGGTGGCTCAGTGCCTGTGACATATGAGGTCCAGACCAGCATTCTGTCACATGTTCAGGAAAAAAATTTTGATCATCCCATCTTTTGCTGCCTCAACCCCAAAGGGGAGATCCAGCCAGGCACCACTGCTCAGATCTTATGGATCTTTTCACCCATCGAGGCCAAGACCTACACGGTGAGCAAAGTCTGGATAGTCAGGTGAGGGATGGAGCAATGCTTCTTCTCCAGGACTTGCTCTAACCAGTCCCTCCTCCACCGTCCTGACTTCCCAGGTGGATGTGCCCATACACATCGTGGGATGGAACTCAGCCCTCATCCAGTTCCAGGGTGTGGGCTACGACCCCCATGTCATGGGGGACACGGCCCCATTCCACAACATCTCCTCATGGGACAACAGCTCCATAAACGCGAGACTGATGATTCCTGGACAGGTCGGTGGAAAGGGAGCTAGAGAGGCTTGAGGCTTTGGATGAGGTCTTGGAACCCTGCGTAGACAGGACAGAGGGATACAAAGGCTGGGGAGGAAACAGGATGGGGTTGAGGAGGGAGGGATGTAGGGGTGAGGTCTGGAGCAGCCTTCTTCCAGGTGTAGGTGGGGAGCACCAGCTCCACAAGAGGCTTATTCTGCCACCTAGTGCCCACACGTGTCCCTGCTGAAGTTGCTCCACCTGCTGCAGGGCTTCAGTCCAGCCTCTTCTCTTGGGCTAGAAGTAGGAATGTTGGAAGTTTGGAAAGAAGCCCTTCTATTCTAGTTATTATCGTCACACCTGAAAGATAGCAAAGGCCAATGACACTGCCTTTAGTTCACACGCTTCTCATTGTTGGGAAGTCTAGTCCATTCATTTTTCCATGCAGTCATTCATGCACCCATTCATCCACCTGCCCATCTTGCATTCATCCACGTCCCTGTCTTCCCAGTTGCTACTTACTGATCTGGGTACCCAGCCAACCAGTTAGCCACATGCCCACCCTTCCATTCAGACCCACCTTACTCCAGGATGAGCATGGAGGAAGCCCTGGGGACCAGAGAAGAACCAGACAAAGTTACTGCTCTGGAGGACTTGCTGTAACCAGTCCCTCCTCCACAGTCCTATGGAAGCTCACTTGGCCCTTCTGCAGGGCCTTTGCATACTTCCCTACAGAGCTCCTTTTCTGTGCTCAGTGAAGATGCCAACTGGTCACACCTTTATTCACAACTCAAATTCTAATTAGCCTTAGTTCAATGCCCTCTAAGCTAAATTTGATTCGGTCCTTCCAAACTTACATCAAGGGCTTTAGAGTGACCTGTCTGGGTTTACTCCAGCTTGGCATACTCCTTGGAATACTCCTTTATACTCTCTGAAGCTCAGTAGCACATCTGTCAAAGGGAACAGTAGTAGTACCTAGGTCACTATGAGGCTCAGATGCCTGGGGAGCACCTCACGCAGTGCCTGGACTGCAGAAAGCACTCAGTAGCTGGCAGTGGGGATGCGGTTGTCACTTGTTCACCCTGCAAAGTTGCTGCTTTGTTGTCTCCATTGGCAGAATGTCTTCCTGTCCCAGTCTCACATCACCCTGGGAAACATCCCCGTGCAGAGCAAGTGCAGCCGCCTCCTCTTTCTCAACAACGTCTCCAAGAATGAAACAGTTGTCTTTGCCTGGCAGCCACGGCCTCTTGACTTTGGGGAGGTGGGGGTCCTTGCACCCACCAAATCAGAACCTCCAGCAGGGACCGGATGGATCCCGCCCCAGCCCATCTCACTCCATGCCATCCAGAGTCACCTAGCCTCATTCCGTTTCATCTTGCCCCGTCCTATCCCATCCAATCCCATCCCTGAAAAACTCCAGAAATTCCTTTCCCAAATTGACAGGTATCTGTGAGTCCCATGACAGGGGAGGTGGCTCCTGAGGAGACAGTCCCATTCGTGGTGACTCTGAAGACCTCAGTGCATGCCAGCTTCTACAGCGTGGACCTGGTATGCAAGGTAGGAGCCAGCCACAGAGGGAAGTGGGTGGGGTGCATCTCCCAGCCCTGGGGAGAGAGAGGCTCTGAGACCCCCAGGCAACCAGAGAGGCAGGACCCAGCCATTGGGACGGTGGGTGGGATAGCACAGGCCCAGATCAAGCCCTAGCTGAGACCTGGGCCTGCTCTTGCTTTGCACCTGGCCCAGGTATACCGGCAGGAACTCATGAGACAGTATCACAGGGAGCTGCAGCAGTGGAAGGACGAGAAGCTGCGGCAGGAGACGGAGTTCACTATCACAGACAGGAAAGTGGAGGTGAGGAAGGCTCAGTGGGCCTCACACACTTGAGGGACAGGCAGTGAGCAGAGGTGGCCCTTCATAGCAAAACCGCCCTGAGAGCCTAGATCCCATGCATAGGCTCTGGACTGATTCCTAACTTTGCCCAGTTTTAGCTCAGTGAAATGAGGGTAACAGGACCCTGTTATTTGCCTCAAGGTAATCCAAAGGTGGAGGACAGGTGGGGTAAGTTTGCTATAAGTTCCTAATTGTTAGAGCCGAGCCGAGTGACTGGGAAGTAAAAGATTCTTAGGAGCATTTGTTCCCCTTCTGCAAACAAAAAATTAAAAATATTGTCAATGCACGTGAAATAACCTGCTTTGCAGCACTGTCATGAGATGTGTAGCCCATCGCTCTGTGAGAGTCCCCTAAATGGGGTCTGGAGGAGCCAGTAGTACACAAAATTCCCATCTCGGTGCCTCCCAAGGTCACAGCTTTCCCATACTGGGCTTCCTGAGCTTCAGCCACTTCTCTTTCTACCACACTGAGCTTCCAGAAGGGCTCTGCCCGCTCTGAGCTCTGACCTGTGTGACTACAAATCCCTTCCAGGGAGAATGAGACAGGACGAGGGCAGGAGGGTAAGGAATCTGAGGAAACTGCTTCCTTGTGTCATGTAACCCTGGGCATTTTCTTCTCTTTTTTTCACTTGTGTAACAAGGTTGTTTCTCTCTACAGGAAGCGCTTCCCCAGGGAATAGGGTGTGACTGGGAGGCGGGCAAGAGGGCTTGGAACTAGAAGTGGTTTCAGGCCCTCTTCATGCCAGGGAGAGGGCATGGAAGGGTGGACATGAGTTAGGCCTCCTGCATCTTCAGCAAGGATCTGTGTGTCCACAGAGGAGAGCATACTGTACAGCCTGTGACCCTGTGAGAAGGTACAAGGTAAGGCCATGAGCCCCAGGCCCATGCTCTTGGGCTACTTGGGAGCATCCTTGTTTGTTCCCAGTCCCTGGTCCCGCCTGGTCCCACCACCTAGAAGGGCAGGGTGAAGGTGCCAATGGGTGAGCCATGCTGGGTATACCCTGTTTACACAGGGTGAGACCTGTTTAGGGGCCAAGCCAAAGAACCAATCGGAGATGGGAGTGTGGTCCTTAAGCCCCATGTCATCCATGTCTCTCCTTTTTTCCAAAGACACTGCCCCCTATCATGAATCAGCAATCTCTTGGCCGGCCAGCCAGCTGGAATCTTCAGATCACACGGGAGGACATAACCTGGCCATGCCCTCAGCCACCCATGCCAGACATCCTCAGCCTGGGCCTCACTGCCAGAGCCCATTCCACCGACTACTTCCTGGACAACTTCTTCTCGGAGTTTCCCTGCCACTTCTTGCACTGGTGAAGTCTTGGGGAGTCAGGGGTCTCCATCCTTCAGTCTTAAACCCCTCATTCCAGAGCAGGGTTTACTCAGAACAAACCTTTGTTGGGGGTTGGAGCAAGGGCAGGGGTGGGGGGACTCATTGAGCTTGGTCCAAGATGCCCAGTTATTGCTTAGGCCTTCTTGAGGCCAGGGCCCCCTGGAGACACCCCGTTGGGCCTCCCACCACTCTACGTACCACCTCAGAGCCTCTTTAGGTTCTGCAGTGACCTGAGGGCTGGGTTGGCTTCCTGAATGCAGTACCGTTGCATCTGCCTTAAGCCTGGGCATGCCTCCCCCCACCCCCACCCCGCCCCACATCTCTGTCCTCATGGCTGGACAGCTACCACCATGGTCTGTGTCCCCCAACCATCACGGTGGCTTGCCAGTCACTCAGAGTATCATGGCCTACCCCAGGGATCTGCCAAAGAGAAAGACCCCCGGGGAAGAGTCAGAGGCTCCTAGCAACCAGGAGGGCCCAATTTCCAAGCAGAAGAAGCAACTCTTGGTCGACTGCCTCACCGCCATCATCAGGTGCCATCTACTCTGCCAGCCTTCATCCTCACACACCCCTCTCTCCAGCTCAGTGGCCAAGGCCGCTTAAGCCCCAGAATACTGTATCTTGAGGCGCAGAACTTCTTTGCAAAGCCCCACTACTGGCGGACCAGGACCCTCAAGATAGTACAGCTTTAATGGCTGGTAGAGAGCTCCTCGGGACCCAGACCTGAGTTCTGCCTGGTTCCTGGCTAATAGATGAGAACTGGATCCATTTCCTTGTTTCCCCCAAGGCCCCTTGTCCATGTCATTTGGACGTGCCAGCTCTCCCTTCTTTATACCTGTTCACCTCTAAGAATCCATGGGGCCCAAAGATGCCTTTTTCCAAAGAAGGGAGGAAAAGGGTCACCGACTGGCTGCTCCCTACTTTGTAAAAACAGTAGGCAGAGACTTTCCCTCGGGATGCCCCAAAGCCAAGGCTCCCCGAAGTCTGCAAGGCCCCTCATCAAGGCCCATTTCTTCCTCCCTGCCCGCCAGGGGCCTGCTGGAAGACAAGAACTTCCACGATGCCGTGAATCAAAGCCTGGTGGATCAGGTGCCTTACTTCTGCCAGTTCCGGAACAAGGAGTCAGCCCGGTTCACGGCCCAGAACACTCTGTACTTACTACCAACTCTGCCTCTGCCCTCCAGTGGCTTGGAGGCCAGGAAAGGCGAGGAGCAGGAGAAGGATATGCAAGGACTGGGGAAGCAGGAAAGCGGGAAAGACACGGGTGAGAAGAAAGAGGGGGAGCTGAAGGGGCTGCGTGAGGAAGAGAGTGAGGAGGAGGAAGAGTTGAGCGAGGAGGAGGAGGGAGAGGAGGAGGCAGCAGAGGAGAAAGGCGGGAAGAGGACCTGGCCAGGGACGAAGTCCGCATCGAAGCACTGGCCCAGCTCCCCACAGTCCCAGCCGTGGCAGTGGCAGCAGGACCTGAAAGTCGAGGAGCAACAGCAGGATGAGAAGGAGGCCACTGGCAGGTGAGCAGTCTGGCCAGGGAGGCCTAACAGGGAGGCTGTGTGCAGCGGGTTCCTAGCATTCCGTAGCTTTGGGAGCCTGAGTGCCACTTCCTAACTGCTGCTCAGTGACATCTGCGTGTGGTAGCTTCCTGCCTGAGTATTTACAGAATACTGAGTTTTGTTTTCTCCTGCAAGAGTCCACAAAGTCTCTTCAAAGAAGTACCATTTCTGGCTCTGCCTCTCCCTGGGGATACATTCTGTCCTTTCTGAGAACTCCCTAGGCCCCACGAAGTCCCTTCTGCGCCCTCTCATCACTGCCTTTCTCTAAGCCTGGCTCTGCCTCAGTGTGACGCTCATGGCCCTTACACTCGCGGAGCATCTGTGTGATGGGAACAGGATGCCCTGGAGTGCTGGGGAAGGGGCAGGGAGCTCCCCAAATCTGCAGGGGGACAATGGCACCCCGTGCATCCGGAGCAGGGCAGCACCAGCTGTGTCCCCCTCTTCCCCTTGTCCTGCCCCTTGCAGGCTGCCCGCCTTCGCCAACCTGCGGGAGGCGCTGCTGGAGAACCTGATCCAGAACATCCTGGTGGAAGCGAGCCGCGGGGAGGTGGTGCTCACCTCGCGGCCCCGCATTATCGCCCTGCCGCCTCTCAGCACGCCCAGGTGGGGGCCGGCGGCCACGCGGAGGAGGCTCCAGGGCCCGCAGGCGCAGGCAGCCTTCCCCTACCCGGGCTTTCTGTCTTCTAGAACTCCAACCCCACTTCAGCTGCCGCGGATCCCTCCAGCGGCGGTGCCCGACGCGCTGGCTCTACGCAGCACTTACTCTCTTGTGATGCCCGTGAGCAGCCCCTCTGGCCTGCCGCCCTGACTCCGCCTGACCCGGTTCCAGGCCCCGTCAGTAAAGATCCAGCCCTTTTCTGCATCTAACTGGTCTTTATTTCCCGCCAGTCGGGGGCAGCGCGCGCGTGCTGAGTCTCACGGAAAGCAGGGCAGCCAGGGTGGACGCTGGTGACCCGCAGGCGCTGGGGGCTGGGAGGATGCGCACACCCCACGCCACCGCACCCCGCCACGCGCCTCTGTCTGGCAAGAGTTCGCGCTCGCCGCAGGGCGCCAAACCCAACCGGCCAGCGGAGGGCGCTCTGGGCGCGGCTTGGTGCTCAGGAACCAAGCGGCGAGCCCGGTTAGGCAAACAGGTGGCCAGGGGCAAGGCGGGCTCCTCTTCGCATCGCCTCGTGCCCTGCTCCGAGGCTCAGCACCCGACGAGGGCCAGCGTTTTGCCATCTGCTGGGCTTCCGGAACTCGGCTAAGAGGCTGGAGAGGAAAGGAAACTGAGGCACGCCGCTGCCAGGTACCGGCCAAGGTCAACAGTGGACAGCGAGCCTACTAAGCAGCTCTTAGAGTGGCTCCATCCCGGACAGGGTGTCTGCCTGCCTTCTCTAGGACGCTCACCACGGAGCCCCCGCACCCCCACCCGCAGCCTCGTCCTCTCTGCCCCCCCCCCAGACAGGTGGGTGGAAAAGTGACATCTGGTGTTGTTCCAGAGGCGCCCAGGTCCCCAGCACCCTCCCCTCCTCGCTGCCAAGGCCTCCGAGGAGCTCCGGTCTCGGAGCCTGGGCGCGGGAGGGAAGGGGGCGCTCCGCCTCCATGAGTCAATATTTGCCCCGAGCAAACGGGCGCCCGGACAGGTGTGAGTGTGTGTGTGTGTGTGTGTGTGTGTGTGTGTGTGTGGCTAGGGGCGGGGACTGAGCAGACAGTATAAGAGTACGCTGAGCTCGGGCTCCAGCACTAGCTCCGGGGCGTGGGTTGGGGACGGAGCCAGGCAGGGCCGGGCCGGGCGAGCCGGGCAGAGGTGGCCGGGCGGGGGTGGGGCGAGCCCGGCGCGCACCTGCGGCGGCTCCGGCCCGGGCCCGGCTCCGCTCCGCGCGCCGACGACGTGTCAGCCCGGCGCTGCGCAGGTGAGGGCAGCGGCCGGCGGGCGCAGAGCCGCGTGGCGCGGACCGAAGACCAGGACCAGGAGACCGCGAGGGCCACCGCCAGGCCCCGGGCCCTCCGTTCCCGCCCCGCGACGAGCCCCTCGCACAAACCGGACCTGAGCGTTTTGTTCGTTCGGCTCGCGTGAGGCAGGGGCGGCCTCTCAGCACCAGCCCCGGGGCCGGCCGGATCGCCACGCAGACACCTGCCTGCCGCAGGCGCCAACCACCATATGGGTCGCAGAGTCTGCGCACCGCTCCTGGGGGAGATCTGGCTCCCATCCGGCCCAGCTAGTCCTGCCCGCAGATTCTGGGCTGCCCGGTACACTCCGGGTAATGCGGGTTTAGCAGGCTCCTGGGGTGGCGGCGGAGGGGGGGGGGGGCAGAGAGGGCCTCAGTTGGAGCAGGTGTCATTCTGGAGGTGGAAACCCGGCTTCCAGTCCAGCTCTGTTCTGGCGACCTCTGTGGCCTTGGGCAAGTCATTTCCCAGCCTCTAGCATTTCCCATTTGAGAGGGTCGGCCTGGTTTCCCGCAAGGATGAGAGCCACCCCTGCCTCCTGATTCTGGTACCTGGGCTCCTAACCCCACCTGTGAGCCCCCACCTGAGAAGATGGAAGTCCTCCAAGCACCGGAGCCAAATCCAGGAGGTGTGGAAAATCTAGGATGAGCTGATGGAGACTCACATCCCTGCTCCCGGTCTTTTTGAGTCTACTTGCGTCCTGAAATTTCACTTCTTGCCACCTCCCTGGTGCTTCTTTTAGTTCATCCATGTCTGAGATTGACTGAAAAGAGGGAACGCAGGGTCCCCCAGACACTGCAGTCCCAAAGGCCACAATCCACACCTCTATTCATTCAGCAGGGGCTGACTGGGGCTGAGTAACCCTCACCGCAGGCAGGTCCCACAGATCTTTAGCCACAACCCCAACTTAGGACAGACCGACCCCTTCCAGCAACCCAAAGTGTTGCCGTCTGTCCTGTGGGAGGGGGGACAGAGATTGCCCCAGGCCTTAGCTCTTGCTTAACGAGCTCAGAACTCAGGGCTCCACACAAGGCCTGGGGTCAGAAAGAGCCAGAGCTGAGTCTTCATTCTGTGACACCAGGTGTCATAGTGACACTGGGCCAGCCCCAGAAGAAACAGGGCTGGTTGGTTGTAGGTCAGAGGGTGCAGAAGGCTCCCTCAGACAGCAGTGAGGAACCCCAGTTGTCCTGAAGGACAAGGACCATTATGTATTCAGGCAGGCAGAGGAAAGCCCCTGGGGTCAGGAGCCATGCCAAATGGGATGATCCTGGGGGTGCTGGCTCGTCCCCTCCTCCAGCTGCCCTGAGGCCCCCAAGGATCTACTGAGTCCCCATCCCAGGAGGAGGAGGAGGGGAGGGTGGGTGACAGGTCTCTGACAGACCCCAGGTTGGCCTGGAGAGAGGGTGGACTGCAAGGGTCTCTCACCGGGGCAGCCCCAGGGGCAAAGATAAAGGTCTCCACTGGCTGTGTGTAGCCCCCATCCTAGCTTCCCTGATAGTCTCCTGTCCTTGGGCTCAGCCCCTCCTCCTTCCCTAGCACTGAATGATTTACTTGTCAGAGGGGGACACCTTTCCTATGGCTTTCAGGTGTCCTCTCTCCTTTCCCACTGATGGCAGGAACTGGGTTACAAATCTTGGGGGCCACACCACAAAAGGCTTCCCCTTGGAATGGAGAGTGACAAGAAGAATGAGGCCATCCAGGGGGCTGGGTCTGCCCTAATAATGGAGACCACTGCCCCTGACAAGGCCTGATTTCCCAGGACCTCCACCCCCTTCACATCCTCAAAGAGCCACATTTCCTGGCCATTGCCTGGGACAAGGCCTTTCCTCCAGGTTCCTCCTCCTCCCTTGCTGGAGTGGGCGGAGTCTCTGGGAGCCTGGCAGGCCTGCAGGTGCTGGACTGGGGGGGGGGGGTTGTGCTCAGCAGCTGGCTTGCGGGCGGCCCCTCCCCCTCCCGCTCTGAGCCAGAGCCTGCTTCCTGTCATCCCTGTCAGCACCCGCTGGAGGAGGGCACAGGTAGTGGGGAAGAGGAAAAGGGACTGAACAGTTGGGGTGCAGCAGCTGCGGGGGAGGGGGAGGGCAAGAAAAATGGTGAGAGGGGAGAAGAGAAAGGGGCCTGAGAAGGACCCTGAGCCACATGAGAAGCACAAGGAAGTGGAGATCCATCCCCCCACCCGCACACACCGTCCAGCGAGGGCAGAGACAGAGCACAGAAGAGGAACAGAGCGTACACACATGAACAGTGTGAGAGAACAGTGTCAGAGGGTGAAGGCACCAAGTGTGTGGAGGCAGTGGGGGCACTTGGGGTGCACAAATGACCCTCAAGTCACAGAGGTCAGTGCAAATGGGGCAGCCAGAGTTGAGGAAGGGGTGGTTGGTGATGTCCCTGCATTGGCTGCCCATTACCCTCCAACGAGAAGGTCAGAAGGTAAAAAAGGACAATGCCATAGCTGGACACCGAGGGCTGTGTGGGACCATGGTCTGACTCCAACTCTCTCCCTTCTTGGTCACTACTGGGCAAATCAACATCTGGAGAAGCTGCCCTGCCCCCCACCGGCTCCCTGATTCTGGCCTAGCCTTGGAACTTACGGGCTTGGAGGCTGCCCAGTGTTTGTGGGGCTAGGGTGGGTACAGTTCATACCCAGGTGCTAATCCCCATCCAGCCAAGGCAGTAGGAGAGCCTCGATGACCTTCGCAGAGATTAGTCCCCATGGTGACCGAGGCAAGCCGCCCCCTCAGCTCTGGCCAGCCTGGGGGTGGCTGGGTGGGGCCAGCGCTGGATGGAGAGGGGAGGAAGGCTTCACAGGATCACAGCAGGCAGGGCCTGGAGGCCCCTTAGGATCCACAGCCAGCTTAGTTTACAGGCAAAAAAAAAAACTAAGCCCCCTCCCAAGTGGGGGTGACTGGCCAAAGACCAGGGATGGAGCCAAGAAAAGCACAGGGGCAGAAGGCAGGTCCCTGGCTCCATGCCCCAGAGTTCTTTCCTGGAGAGCAGAGGCCTGAGCAAGAGCTAGGGAATTGTCGACACCACCTGACCTTGCCAGACTCTGGCCGAGGGCAGAGCAGAGCGGCTCAAGGTGGTGAGGCACAATGCCAGCCCAGCTCCTATGCTCAGCTGGCTTCCTTGGCCAGGTCAGGAAGAAAGATACAGACTCCAGAGCCCAGCTTGTTGTCCTGCTCACCCCCACAACCCAGCCCAGAGATGGTGGTGGTGATGAGAACTATGTGACAGACAAAATCATTTACAGCTGTAAATACAGCAGGGGCTGCAAACACTTGGCATTTCCTGGGCACCTACTGCCAGGCAGTTTTGTGGTTCACAGACACTTAAATCTTTGTAAGTCTTTAATACAATTATTCCCATCTTGCAGACGGGAAGACTGAGAAGCAGCGTGCAAGATCAATCTATAAGCAGCAGAGCTGGGATTTGAACCCAGGCATCAGCCTGCCCTCTTGGTCTTATGGTACTTATACGATGATGGCTGGGTGGCAAAGATGGGATCTCTGTGGGTGCCCGTGGGGTGGGTGTGCTCATGTGAGTGTGAGCCCAATGCCCCATACTGTGTCTGGCACATAGCACACCTTATTAAATATTCAAGGCATAAGTGAGTGAACAAATGTCTGCCTGTGATGAACATGACACAGAGCTGTCTGCTGAATCCTAGACCTTGGCCGTTGACATGTGGAGTGCGTGGGACGCATCCATGTGGCTGGAACTGGATGACTGTCTCCACTTGACCGTGAATGTGCCAGTCTTGTCCCTGCCTTGTCACAGGAGCCCTAGGCTTTGGCTCCTGGAGAGGCGAGGCGGTGGTGGTGGAAGCTGCCTCCCACTTTCCTGGAAGGTAGCCAGTTGCCAACCCCACTGAGGGCCGGAGAAGGGGGGCTTTGTTTCTGGAAGGATGGGACAATGGGTCGGCGTGGGTGGGGCTCC